AAATCCACTGTCGCTTCCTATATGCGTAACTATCAGACGACTACCTTTTCCAGATGGCTGTTTTAACCCAACTGACAAACCTTCAATAAAGGCTTGTCGTGCACTTGTTATATTACCATCCTGCCATACTTTTTTGACCGTATGTCCTTGGTTAACCCATGTCTCGTCCATGAAGTACAATTTTTTTTGAGCTTCCGAAATTCGTCAATTTTTCTTAGATAGTTGCCACAACCTACAACTCTACTGCTTACTATATTTTGATTCTGCTATAAACTGGTAACGTAAAATTTAGATATGACAACGCGCTTTACTCTCAATCATTATTGGTTTTACTATAGACCAGAAACAGATGATTATGCTGTATCATGCTCTAGTCGAATCGGGTCTTCGGTATGGTGTTACTTTCTGGGGAGCTTCCTCTTCAGGTAAAGATGTTTTTGTCACCCAGAAAAAGATTATAAGATGTATAGCAGGAGTCTGAAGAAATACAAACTGTAAAAGCTTTTTTTTAATTTTGAAATACTAACATTGCCATGCCTGTATATATTCGAATTATGTGCTTTTATATATGATAACCGTAACAGTTTCATAAGAAATGAAAATGTAATAGGGCTCAGATTATCTAATCTGCTACTCTAGTACTATCCACAACTTCAAATTTACACTTGAGTCTTTCCTACTAGAGAAAACCTATAACTCCCTTCAGGAAATGATTGAATAATAAAATGAAAAATTCAATGAATGTGTTATTCTTAGTGAATTGTCTTATTTTTAGTTTTACTTTTAAGCTCTTTTCTGACTAATCCTACACAATGTACCTTTTTGATTGTCTTACAGGATAATAAAAATTATTATTATTATATTATTATTATATCTTTGTGTTTCACCTACCTATAATTAGAAATACATTTTTTGAGTTGACTGAAAGAAAACATATTTCAATAGACAATCTGAGATGATTTCGCTTTTGCGCAACTAAAACGATCCCTTTTGATAGGATCGTCACGTGTGATGAAAAGTGGATCCTCTACGACAACATGAGACGTTCAAGACAGTGATTAGACACCGATGAGCCACCCAGGCTCATCCATGATTACTGTTTATTTTTGCAATGCTATATTTCTGAGCAAATTCACACATTTGCCTTGCATCAGTTTTTTTAATTTAGAAACTCATAAATACCAGACACCTCAAAGAGTATTTTTATGACATTTTATTGTGAAGCCAAGCTTTGACATCGAACACCAAAAGAAAACTCGCTTTCCGCCTCTCTATGCAGCTCACACTTCAATATAGTAACTAATAACAGACCGCCATACAATAATTATCTAATAATTGTTAATGAAAAATTATTTATATTATTGAGTACCAGCAGAATTCATTGAGCTACTGTTGTTGTATTCTACTGATACAGAAATCCTATTCACTTCCAAATATGAAATTTAAAAATGAAAGAATTACATTTGAATTGATTACGATAAATATTGTGTCTATGCGGCGAAATCATATGTAACAATTCCATTACCGTATTAAGAGATGCATGTTTGAAAGTAAGACCTCCTTAATCTCCAACTCGCACAATTTTCCACTTTCAAGGGTTGTTTTTCGTAAAAGGGCAATAGCTAGTTAACGGAAAAATTGATTTTTTTCCACAGATTCCACCTACAAAATTTTCCAATGGATTTAGATGATTTTGCAATCTGCAAATAATGATTTTATTTCCAACAGGTATAGGATCTGATTACAGGAAATGCTTGAGAATTAATTTTCCACAAATTAAAAGGTATTGTGAAAGTTATCAGAAAAAAAAGTACATCAATGGATCATGTTAGATATACGAAAAATGTTCATATATGATGGAATTGGCCGATACTTGATGAAAATCCATAACTAACATATTCAAATAACACTTTATTGTAAAATTTCAATGAACAATTCTACAAAAACGCAACACATGTTTCGCCATACAATGGCTTCTAACTATATTCTACATATTCAATGCTTAATATACCTACTTTTACAATTTGAAGTACCTACATTTCAAGTACCTGGTTTTTACTTAAGTTTGTAAGAAATTAAATTACCTGTGCTTATGTCCCAGTTTCCACATTTGAAAAAATATCAAGTTTCGGAGAGTTATTCAATTCTAATTGATCATTCTGTAAATTACTCGAATTCCTGAATTTATGGATTTCTAAACATTCTAGAAGATTGAGTTTCAAACTCTTCTCTTAATTCTCGAAATTGCAATCAAATCGGTATCGCAGCCAAGAAATTCAGCTTTTCCATGTTATGCTTCAATTCATGTTTATCCTTGAATATTTCAGCTTCATGTAATCTTTTGCTAAGGTTTTTTTCTACTGTTCCTGATCTTCATTGTTTTGTGCAATACTTTCACTGATGCATATAACTTTTTTTTTCTTGGTATGATTGCCTGCTTACTAACTCCTGAATGCTTCAGGAGCTGAAGTGGTGACATTAAACAACCAACAGCATTTTCTAAAAAAGAATGATGTCAATTACTCTACAAATAAATGAATAGATATGAAGACTTATTTGTAAAAATGCATATGGTAATAAAGAAATAACCAAACCAGTACATACCATCAGAGGAATCCGGTTAAAAAAAACCAATGTTAATGGCATAGCTGAAGAAGTTGACGGCTCATCTGGATTGAATAGATTGATTTCATCTGAAAATAAAATAATAGGTAAACTTATTAAAAACTGCTTCGATGAAGTTTGTGACAACGAAATATTCAAATTGAAATAATTTTGACCCTTCTAGCTTGTTCTCTTAGATTTGGATGAATAACTAATTTAGATTTTCACACATTTCTGAGGTCAAGCTAAAATAGGATGTTTGAGTATTGAGGATTGAGATGTCAGAACTGACTTGTTAATTATGAGAAGTTGAATAGCCAGAGCCATCTGGAACAAATGTATTTATTTGACCTGAATTGTTTTATTATTTGGACGTTTGAGAATTGAATGGAAATGTTTCTCTTACCTTGCAAATATAATGTAGGCACAGTAATCGGTTGAAGTCTACTCAACATCGATGAATGGTATTTAGCCTCAAAATGTTTACGGCAAACTCTTTTAGAACGATACACCATTACCGGGTCCATTTCATTGATATCCCTATCATTGATAGAATGCAACCATTTTCTTGATTGTTCTGGATATTTTCCAGAATTTGGAAATTTCTGTAGCATTGCAGATGCTGAACACTGAATTGCAGTATTTGAGTATTTCCTACACGACATAGTTGTAAACGAAGTTCACTAAGAATAAAAAAAAATTATATGTAACAATGTAATAACACTGGATAAATGTGTTTGTATGAGATACAAACTAACTGACCGGAGAACACTAATAAAAATAATACATTACGAATTCATTTTGAAGGAAAATGTCAACAAACAAAAACTACTTCTTCACAAAAAATTATAATCTTCTTCTTTCTTCTTTTATCACTGAAATCCTGTTGTTCTGTGATATATACTTTGCAGAGGTGGTCACAACGAACTACAAAAGCGTCCTTGACCCCGATCATTTGCGTCAAACGTCTATAGAGTAAGCGGTTTGTCCGAAGAAATATTTGAAACCCTAGTGATTTGAAGGTTTGTTCTGGTTCTACGAAATTCAGGTTCTAAGACGTCAGGATCATGTGCAGTTGATATAGAGCGTTCTGGTTTATTGAGGATAATTTCGGACTGATGAATCAATTATTTAAATCAAATAAAAAAACATACTAGAAAATAGCCCAAACAAATTTCCACACGAATGCGCATGAGCAACGGGAACAGTTCTCAACAGTTCAACCTCGAGAGCAAGAACGAATCGGGACTGTTCCAGACAGTTCAGGATCATTTCGCAGTCGAAACCAGAACAGACGATTCATCAATCCGAACTTATCCTCAATAAACCAGAACGCTCTATATCAACTAGGATGTATTTTTATTTATTTGATTTAAATAATTGATGATTGAGTTTAGATAACATCTGAACTGACTATAAGGATACGTTACATAACAAAATGGACATGAAATAGTATTTTCTCGTCTTCAGGTTTTTGACAAAATAGTTTTCAAAGGGAAAGTGTCTAAGTGTTCACACCAGAAATAAACTATACATCTTGTGTCGACCTATTATACGAATTTCGTTGAATTATTAGTGAATGTAAACATGTATAATAAAGTTTGGTTGAAATGTCGGCCTACAACCTGCCGATATGAAAACGTGATAATTTATTGGCTGCAATCGAATTATATATCTGATACTGTTGTGAATGAGTAGTATTTGATTTGGTTCATGTATTAATACCACTTTATAATGAATATGTGAGTTCTCTTTGTGATCTTTTTAATTGACATCTATTTGACAACTTGATAATAATTTAGACTAATGATATCACGGGTGTCCCAAATATATAAATATATGTAGTACACAACAATCTCCCACGCTTATTGAATTATTTTTTTTCAACTATATAATCGTTGAGGCGCGATGGAAGTTTAACAGGGCGGCCTGATCTTCTCAACTCCGTTATGTTGGTTGGTGGATGAGGTATTTGATCATCAGGTAGGTACTTCAGTTTGATCTGGTTCAAACACCTCATTTTGAATATTATCAGGTTGATTGGCTGGTTCATTTTGCACTGGAATCGTAACCAAATCAGTTATATTAGTCTGTTTTGATTGATAGTCATAAGTAACTTCTACTTCAGGTGCACAAAAGACAGATTTACTTTTGGGCAAGTTGGTCGATCTTATCTGATCAATATGTCTCTTCAAAATATATCCATCATCGAGTTTCACTTGATAGTGAAAAAGCCCAAATCTCTTGATAATTTCTCCTGTCTTCCATAACTGTTTATTATTTGTGTAATACCTTGTTTGAACTCTTTCTCCCACGCTGAATTGTCGTGCCTTTTTATTTGATGGTGCTGATTTTTCATTATGAACGGGTTTCAAAGCTTCCAGCGAGATACGAATCTGTCGATTAAGAAATAGCTCTCTGATAGCGTCTTCCCATTAGACAGTGGTGTTGCTCGATAACGAAAAAGTATCTCACGAACTTTCTGTCGCATAGAAAAAGGTTCGTTAGCCATAGCAGCAAGTATGTGTTTAAGGGTTTGAACGTTACGTTCCGCTAATCCATTTGTCCTGGTGTCCTGGTGCGATAAATTTTTGAAAAATAGCTGCTGATTGGCAAAACTTTTTGAAATTTTCACTGGTGAATATAGTTGCATTATCGGAAACCATAACATCGGGAAATCCATAACGAGCAAATATATCTTGGAGTATCTCTATTGAAGATGAAGAAGTTGGAGCTGATGTACACGGAACAATCTCAGCCCATTTGGATTTTGCGTCGATAACAACAAGAAAATGATGATTCTGAAACGGCCCTGCATAGTCGATACGTATTCGCTGCCAATTATTTTCTGGTTCCATCCAAGGGTGCAATGGTGCTCTTGAAGGGTTTGGCTGAGCAGATGCACAGGATGGCCACTTCTTACCATGCGATCAATATCTTTATCACTAGATTTTCAGTAAACGTAACGTCTGGCTAATTGTTTCATTTTAGTCATCCCAATGTGAGTATGATGAAGCTCTTTCAAAACTGCTGCTTGTAAAGATGTGGGTATAACAACACACTGGCCTTTGAATAACACATCGCAGTCTACAGTGAATTCTGCTTTATAATTTGAATCCTGTTTGAGATCTTTCAAGGGTGCTGATAGTGTTTCGTACTTAAGTGTTCTGATGTAGTTATTTGTGAAGTGTTCGAATTACATAAATGATGAACTTCGTTATTGATTACTGAATCCATTTGAAGTTTTGCCCTTGAAAGGCAATCTACATTTGAATTATCTTTTCCTTTCCTAAAGGATAATGTGTAATTGAATCCGGACAAAAATGTAGCGTATCTTTGAAGCAGAGCTGAAATCATCTTGAGAATCTTTGCGTTCTGCTGAAAAATTCTTACAAGCGGTTGATTATCCGTAATGAGTGTGAATGGGCGTGCAAACAAATATTCGTGAAATCGATCCACAGAAAAAATGATGGCCAAGGCTTCTCTATCGAGTTGAGAGTAACCTTGTTCTGCTGAAGTCAAAGACCTTGAAACATTACCATCCACAACGTGTGACAATATTCCAGCAACACCATTAGGACTTGCATCGCATGCAAGTTGCACTGGTAACGATGGATTGAAAGGCATAAGAACTTGGTCACTGGCAATTTCTTGTTTGTGTTTGATGAAAGCTGCTTCACATTCTGCTGTCCACCTGAATCTGATATTGTTTTTCAGCAGTTGACGATGAGGAGCAGTTTTACTTGAATTGTTAGGAATGAATCTTGCATAGTATGTTACCATGCCTAAGAATCTTCTGAGTTCTTCCACTGACGTTGGCTTCGCCATATTTATGATTGCAGCAACTCTTTCGGGTGATTTTGATATTGAATTGAATTTTATAACATGTCCTAAAAACTCAATTTGATCTTGGACAAATTTGCATCTGCGTATATTGAGATGCAAGTCATATTTCTGTAATTGAGATTTGTTGCACATTCTTCTCTACTATTTCCATGAAACACTATGTCATCAAAATAAAATTCAGTCTTAGGTACTTCTCGTAAAATCTGATCCATGATACGGTTGAATTCTGATGGAGCTGTTTTTATCCCAAAAGATAATAGATTCATCCTATATGTACCTCTGTGCGTAGTAATTGTTTGAATTTCACTCGATTTTTCATCAACCTTGATATGAAGATAGACTTTGTATTAATCGAGCCTACAGAAGACTTGAGAATTACGTTGACTATTCAAAATGTCTTCGATTTTTTGAATTGGATAATGTGATTTCATAAGTAACAACTTTGTGATCGACAGCCAAACGTATGCCTCCATCTGCCTTTGGTTATACGACTAATGGTGATCCCCAGTCAGATATCGTTATTTTATGATTTATGATTCCTGCAGTTTCAAGTGCATCCAACTCTTTTTCAACCAATGTGCTGAGTGCGTAGGGAATTTCACGTTCACGATGAAAACATGGCTTTACACCTTCACGTAACTTGATAACAACATTGAAACCTGGAACACATCCAATTTTCTCTTCGAAAACATTTGGATATTTTGCGCTTAGTTCCTGTACACTCTACAGCTTGAATCTTTCAGAGGGTACTGAAGTGTTTTGTTGACTTAGTTGATTCAAATCTATCTTGAGGCGTCGAATCCAAACTCTACCAAGAATAACAGCGTAATTTTCTGGCACAATATAAACATCTTCTTTTATTTTGATGTTACCATAAGAAACGTTAACTACAATCTTTCCATCGGGTATGAAAACATTTTGAGTATATGAGCGGAATCCGATGGTTGCTTGTTCAAATCTTGTAATTGTTCACGTTGAAGAAACATATAAGCTGATTCCGAATCTACTTCGAATTTGATTGGTTTTCCTTCTATCTTGACGTGGACGTAATAACGACTCATATCAGTGTCATAACTATCATGATTTTGATGAATATCAACAATATGTTGTACATCTTATTGTCGTGCGATTTCATGTGAATAATCGCTTTGAATTTGATTAGTCGATTCATATTTGGTCTTTTTTTCAACTAATGAAGTAATGCAGACCTTAGAAACGTAACCAGTCCTGTTGCATAAGGTACATTTGAGTGAGGTTTGTTCAGTGTGACAATATTTTGTGATATGATTGGATTTCCCACACCTAAGACAAATATTCTGCAGTCCTAGTGATTCGAGGTTANTTTAAAAAACTTTTTGCTATAGGATATTTTCACGAGACAGAAGGCAGCAATTGTATGGAAGACAGTAGCGATATTTTGCTTAATATAACATCGGAGTCATTGAAAAATATTGAAAGTTTTCAGGAAAAAAATTACGAAAATATTTCTCCAATTATAAAAATAGAATCAACCGATTATAGGAATTTGATATCAGAGGAGGGAAATGCACTGGTCTATGTTGGTGGATATTTTTTACGTAGATGTCTCTTTAAACATTCTTGTCATATTTGTTTGGAATATTGTTCATCATCCGAAAGAGACAAGTCTACTTCATTTTGTGAGCTCAAAGCTTACAAAGGTAGTAAAAATATATTCGGTGGCTTAACAGTCCCTCCCAATGATTTTTCGAAGTATTTAATACCATTAGAGAATATTTTAATGATTACTGCATACATGATGGTGTAGGAAACATATTTTTGAAAGAATATTCTAATGTAGAATTCACCCATCCATGTAGCAATTTTCCCAAAGACTATTTACTTTCATTGTTTACAAGAGTTTGAATCTATTACACAATCAAATTTGCAAACAGGCAAATAAGATCTCAATGTTTAAATAAACAACACCCGAAACTCAAAATTTTGCAAAATTTGTAACATTTGAAATATTACATGTCGTTTTTTGACCTTAGTAGATTTATTTAGCTGGGGGATGGTTGGGGTTAGGTCGAATAACTGAAATCACTATTATCGTTGCCGACGTTTCGACTTTTATAAAGTCATCCTCAGGGCACTACAAAGTTGCAGTAAATCAGATATAAATACAGGTGAAAAATTATTAAAATTTGCGACTAGAATCACTTCTGCGGATGAGAGGTCAAGATTGAGTAAATTTGGTACAATTCAATTGAGAGTAAAAATGTAATGTAGAGGACAGAGAAGGTCAATTGAATCGTACCAAATTAATGTACTCAATATTGACCTCTCATTCGCAGAAGTGATTCTTGTCGCAAATTTCAATATTTTTTTACCTTGTGTGTATTTATATCTGATTTACTATAACTTTGTAGTGCCCTGAAGATGACTTTATAAAAGTCGAAACGTCGGCAACGAAATAATAGTAGTTTCAGTTATTCGACCTAACTCCAACCAACCCCCAGCTAAATATTTGAAATGTGTCTAAATATATATATGCCAAAGTACTGAATAGATTATAATTATACTATTAGGGTATACTCAAGAAAACAACAAATCACCATTCAATTAGGTAATGTGTAAATAAAGATTATTCATCTTCATTTTCTCTTTATTGTGGAGTCCCTTTATAAGTATCTCACCTTTTTACCTGCCCATAATTCAAGAAATCAGATAATTCATGTCAGTTATTACAACGAAATATTCCTCAATTTATTGTTATTAGAATCTCATATTATATAATCATCTCAATGAAAGATCATAAAAAAGCATAAATAATATATAATGAATATGATCAACACTTGACGCCTGACCCTCGTGGACACACTTTTGAGTAAACATATTGTTCGCGCTGCTGACTGACCCTCGTATAACGTATTTCTGCTGGTAGCCGCAGGATTTACGACCGCTCACAAAAAAAACGGCATATTTTACCCACATCAAAGGAGTTACCAGACTTATTAGAATATCTATGGACGATGTCCTTACCATTTTTAATTAACAAATATTAACATAGTAAATGACGGATGACGCTCAAACTACGCGTCAGTGTATTTGTGCCAAATAATTTCGAAAATACCTTCACGCGGGCTTTTTTAAAAAGAGAAGAAGAAGAAATGACCAATTCCAGGCACTTTCTTGACAAAATGTAAGATTTGCTTGTTTTTTTGAGGGTGTTGTTACGCGAGTGCACTAGCTAAGATTTTGTTGGTTGGTAATTCTATTTGGGAATTCCGAACACTCCTGATATCATTGCTCCTTAGTCGGCACTTGTTCATCTAGGAGTGTGTATGTGCAAGGCAGAGGTACTAACGTCGAGTTATGATATTCTAGCGTTAGATAGCGCCACTAGTTTTTGAGATGAGTCTATGCCAGGAATTATATTATCAGACGCGCGGTATTATCCAACTCTCCCCTATTCTGGGTCACCACTGCCTCCGCAAGTGCGGAACTTCCGCCTCCGCTTGTTTTAATGAAGGAGCGCGCGATTCCGTACATGTCTCTCAACCAATCGACTGCGTACGAACCTACAAGCCACCAAGCAGCAACTGGGTTAGCGTTAGCGAGCCGGTAAAGGGGGAAGGGAAACCTTCCCTCGCTCGCTCGCTCGTTATTTGTATGTTTAGTTATTTAGTTGCATAAATATTTCGTTCGTAGTAAGTAGGTATTCATTCGATGATTATTGTTCATTTAATCGCGTTATGAAGCCTAAAACGAGTAGTATTTGGCAGTATTTCTCAGAAATCGACGATAATTACGCAAAATGTAAAACGTGTAACAAAAACTATTCGAGAAAAGGCCGAACTACAACATCATTGAAGGGACATTTAAAATCTATGCACAAAGACAAATTTGGAGAGTTTTGTAAAATTGAAGAACAAAAAGAAACTGAAAAATTCAATCAGTTGAAATCAGCACTTATACCACTAGAACAAGTGAAAAGGTAATTTTCTTTATGCATCCACCTCTGCCTTCATTAACTCTTGCTTCCGCGGTCGCCTCCGCAAAAATGAAGAGTATAGCTAGTGCCGAATTCTTCGTTGAGTATTGACCATGGCTTAGACCTTATGGTCGTTTAATGCGTTGAAGTTAAGCCCTCCACACAATTGTACCTATACTAAAATTCCATAATAGTGGGCACTAAATTCTCAGAAATATTATTGCATTGAAACGAAAACATTGTTGTCAGGTTGTGATTCTAGATATTTTGTCATATAATTATATTAGTAGGTGTAATTAGTATAATTTCCGTACGCCACTGCCAGAGACATATTAAGGAAAAAACGTCACAGTCATTTCTGAGAATTTAGATCTACTTTTAACTTTAAGTCCTTGTGTTCATATCAGTGACTAAATAAAAATTTCTTATTTTAGTTTTTACAGCTGGATATATATACACCAAACTTGTACTTTATATCAGCATTTACATAAGTATGGGGAATGAATCACACTGTTTTACTGATTGACTCGGCCGTTACTCGATGAAAATCCACAGTAATTTCACAAACTATTGCGGAAACGATTTGATCTCCACAAACTTGAACATATCACATGCTTTGCTATCACAATAGTGAATAACAAATGTTCTACTTCTTTGATTGACGACTTATTTTGTGAAAATTGATGTTCACTGGTGATACAATATTAAAACCATAAAAACACACTTTTGTCTATTTTTCACGATAGTTTTATATATGTTGACTAGTTTAGGTCATTACACCATTTTCAAAACTGTTTTGAAAATGGTGTAATGCCTGAAACAGGACATGAATTGGAAAATATCGCAGAATGGCATGAAAACTGGTATTGTTTATTTACTACCTAGGTACTATTAAACAAAATGTTGTAATCACGCACTTCATTAATTCGTTACTAAAAAAGTTCACTTCGATAAATGTTGAAGCGTTACCTTTGATATGATTTAACGCGATTCAACGTTAATCATTAATCCGGCGGTAAAATCCAATGAAAAATGCTTTTTGTATCATTTTATTGAATATCTAGTTATAAGAACTGTTTGGGTTCCGGAAGTTATTTTGATTTTTTGTGAAATTCTGTAAATAATCGCAAAAAGAAATGAACACAGAAACCACTACCATAGCAAAAAGTTCAAAATTATTTACAGTATTGTATTATTCATTATCGTCTGAAGAAAACTCGTCGGATGATGAGCAACTATCGCGATCGCTATTACTCGAGGTTTTTTAAGGACAAAACACAAGCACTACAGGAAAATGCTTAAGGTGCTTGTGTGAAAGGGGTGATTCACATTGGATTTGAATCGCTGAAGTTTAAATCCATTTGGAAAAACGTTCTCAGAAAGTGTGTTCCACATAAACGCAGTTCTCCAGATAAAAGAGGGTAAATTTTCGTTTTGAGGGCATCCGGCGATTTTGAAAAAATGGTTTGAGTGTACTTACGTATTCTGATGCGTAGATCACGAATCCGAAAGAAAAAAGCGGCGCTTTCTCTTATTTACAAAGTTACGGCCCCTCAAAGTTCAGAAAAGGGCAACTTTTCAGTCTTCTCTTTCACAAAATAAACTATTTAAAAACACAAGCATCTATTCACTAGGCCACCTTTACACCTTATTCCTCCTTCTTTGACACTTTTCACTTCAATAATAAGAATAACATAATATGAATGTTAGATTTACTGACATTTCAAACCGATTGTGTTATTCAATTGACCTGGATTGTGAGAATTTAACTTGTATGTTATGTGCTATATAAAAGATTTTTGTAAAATTATTTTTATCATTTCTAGAGGCTATGTCACGCACAAGGAGCAATCTTGCGATTGTCTCTTTAGTGATGCCATTGTTTATTGTTCTCAAGCACTACTCATGTACCGCTTTTGGTGGAATCAAATGTGCCAAGTCACTTGAACACATTCTGTGAAAGTATCTATAGAAGAAAGACAAATCTCCAACCTTTCTTCGATGTTCCAGAGTGTCAAGGTTGTAAGTGATGTTCGCGTCTCCAATCAGGCGGATGTCTCTTTTCTGGATAGAATCCAGCAGCTTCAGGGTATGTTTGGGAGCGGAGCTATATACATGAGAACAATAGTCTTAAGGTCTGATCTTAGCTTTATAAAGCATCAAAAGTTGCTGAGCTGTGTACAGTCTTTGCAATTCCAGCGACATGATTGTGCCAAAACATATTGGTGTCCATTTTAACCCCCAACAAACTTATCGAAGCAGAAAGCGGACCTGACATTATTATATCCGGTTCGGAGACATTTATCTTCACGGAGAAAACCGATGCTTGGGCTTTTGTGGCATTGAATTGAACCTGGTTACTTTAACCCCAATTTCTAGATCCTCATTAATATATTCAACCTCCTGCTAGTCCTGCTGCCGGTGAAGATGTGCTTCCGCAGCCGATATCCTGGGATCCAAATGTAATGTAGAGATAAGTGTGATGTCGTCAGCAAAGCAATGTATTGGATTCTTGATTTTTTCCAATAAGTCGTTGATATACAATAGAAAGAGGATTGGAGACAATATGGATCCCCGGGGAACACCAGCGTTGATGGTGAAAATATTCGAGATATATTCATCCAGAGCCACGTGCAGGGAACGCTCTTTCAAGAAGCTGAAGCTGAAAATATCATCAAAGTTTGGCCAGCAAACCCCATGCTACACTCAAAGGCTTTAGAAATATTAAGCGCAAGAGCTCTTGATTCTCCATGTTTCTCGATTGCATCATTCCAAATATGGGTGACATACGAAAGAAGGTCGCCTGTGGAACTTTGTTTCCGAAAGCCATATTGATGATAGCTCAAAATGTTGAAGTCTTCCAAGTCTTGAGGATATGGTGGTTTACGGCTTTCTCCATGATTTTTGATATCACAGATAGCAAAGCGACTGGTTTTAGTTATTTGGAGAAATTTTTTGCCCTTTTTGGGAATAGGCTGAACGCGACCAATCTTCCAACAAAAGAAGAAGCCCCTTTCTTGTAATACAGGTTGAAAAGTCTGCAAAATACTGGTGCGAGTGCATTTGCGCACTTCTTGAGTACGATGACGGTCACTTCATCAGGACCTTGTTGATAATGAGCTGTTTCAAAATTCGTCTGACTAGACGCTGTCGAAAAGTAATTTCCGGCATTGTGGATTCTAGTGGATTTGAGCTAATAATCAATAGTTCAATTGCAATATCCATTCAACTGTCGAAATTCCCCATTTTCTCCTTTTTCTTTTATCGTATGTCTAATGCATTTTTTCCATGATTCGGGTATGACATTTTCTATCGCAGTAGCTAGTAGGCATTTTACCTCATCCATTTCAAAAATCAAGTCTTTCCTCGCCACTTTTATTTGAGATAGTTTTCTAACTTTCTGTATAGTGTTTTACCCAGTTCAATTATCTTTATCTGTTGAATTACACTAATTTTTGTTTTGATTTCAGCCGACCCGATGATGGTGCTGAAATAAAGAGCGAACCGGATGACCAAATACTCCAACCTGTTCCTGAGTGTTCTAGTCGCAACCCTGAAGAATATTTGCCAGAAAATCCACCAATTGCTAAGTAAGTTATTTACCGTATGTTATGAAAAATAGTTCGAAGTTCAAGTAAATCCGCACACATAACACTTGTTCCAGAGCTTTTTTCACAATCGCAATTTAGCCATATATTTTTTAAACATATGTATATTTTTAAAAACACATTTGATATAATTTCTCAATGATGTTCCACTGATTACCTCAACAATTTCAAACCGATTTGAAACACAAAGCACTTCAACGATACAAGAGAATGAGAACACCAATATCATGGGAATACTATAAAGAATTGCGTAATTATGTATCTAGTGCTATCCGCCGTGAAAAAACTGTATATCTCAATTATGTACTTAGACAGAGGAATTCTAAGGAAACATGGAATACTCTTAAATCTCTTGAAGTACTTCGAGATAATAAAACTCCGGCTATTCCGCCGTTTTTGAAAAATTTGAATGATCTGAACGAACACTTCGTTAATATACCAATATTTAAATAAACCGCCAGTCAAATAGCTGTATGCGAAACATATTACAATCCTAAATATGAACCAGAGTTTATTTTTCATAATGTAAACTCGTATGAAGTGAATAAGCTCTTTAATAAAATCAGTAGTAATGCTATGGGCTCTGATGAAATCAGAATTCGTATGTGGGATTTAGTTTTGCCCCATTTATTGGAATACATAACATATATCTTCAACTTTGCCATTGAGACTAGTAAATTTCCCTCTCAATGGAAACATGCTAGAGTTAAGCCATTGGCAAAATGTAACGATCCCTCAGATTTCTCTGATATTAGACCTATAAGTATTCTTCCTGCCATCTCAAAATTCTTTGAAATGATTATTAAAGAACAACTCTCAGATTACGTTGAACGAAAAAATCTTATTACCTCTGTTCAGTCTGGATTTCGCCCTCTATATAGCACTATTACGGCTCTAATTCTCGTCACTGACGACATATTCAAATCACTTGATGAAGGAAATTTCACATGTCCCTTGATGCTTGATTACAGTAAAGCATTCGATACCTTGGATCATTGTTATCTAACCATTATGTGTGGAATATAACATCATTAAAAAGCCCGCCACGGCTTCTCTGGGTAATGCTCATCCGAACCGTCCCATTTCACATGACTGGCGCATAAGCCATGCTCGACCAATGGCATGTGTTACATTAGCTTTGAGGACTGCTGTGATTTATGGCTTATTCGCGTACACCTGCGAACCTAAGAAACCCCCACAGGAAAAAGTCATAACAGGGTCAAATCGCACGATCTTGGTGGCCAGTTCACATCACTTCCACATGAGATGACCATGCCCTCAAATTGCTCGTGCAGAATATCCAATGTGGCACGTAGCGCCATCTTGTTGAAACCACATGTCGTTGATGTCCAGATCATCCAAATCAGGCCGAAAGAAGTTTTTATTTATCGACCTATAGTGCTTGCCGTTAACAGTGATGGCCTGACCAACGTCGTTCTGAAAGAAATATGGACCGATGACGCCGCCAGCCCAAAATCCATATCAAACAGTGACTTTTTCGGGATGCGTTGATCGCTCTCTGATCTTATGTGGGCTAGTATCTTCCCAAATTCGACAATTTTGTTTGTTCACGTACCCATTCATCCAGAAATGGGCCTCATTGCTGAAGATGATTTTTCGATGAAAGTAAGTCCGGCCGTACGCGGACCACATATTTGCAGTTGAGGCAACCACAACATTGTGGCCAGGTTGACTGCACTTCGCGGTTGACCCAACCACATTTTTGTGGTCGACTTGCGGTCATATAAACCGCACTTGCAGTTCAGGCAACTGACATCAAAAATTGAATGCTGTGTGACCAATATGTACGCGGTTGGGTACGACTGCAAGTTTGTTCTTAGTGTACGGCGGATGGCTGATGACATCTCGGCGGAGATCAGCAGCAAGTTGACTGCAGAAGCCCGTTTTGACTTTTGTGAACGCCCGTGTACGTGTAGTACAGTATTTCTTATGGGTGGCTTGAGTTCGCTGGAACGCGACTGCAATTGTGTGGTCGCTCCGACCGCAAAATGTGGCTCGTGTACGGGCGCTCTAAGGGTTAGTTGCCAACTGCTCCGGATCCCATTCAGCGTACACACGTCGTCTATGGTCGTTTACATTCACTTCCTGGGTCAGTTGTATTTTGTACGGGTGCAGGCCCAATTCACGACGCAAATTTAGCCTAGTTGTGGTCTGCGAAAGGCCGAGATCTTGTGAGCGACGCGAAGTCGACTGCCTCGGATTCTTCTGAACACTCTCACAGACAGCGGCGATGGTTTCGGCAGATTTTGCGTTTGGTCGATCGTTTAGGGAATCAGTGGACTCAAATTTATCTACCACATTGCGAATAGACCTCGCGGTAGGACATTTATGGCGACCGTAATATGGGCGAAACGCGCTGTACGTTGCCCGAACAGAACACCAATTATAAAATAGATTAAAATAACCATTATAACAATCATAAAAACATCCGAGACTTTTATATATAAAATGAATCACATGTATAAGAAAAATCACTCGGATCACAAAACAATTGATATGATCTATCCGAACATGGCGATTTGGCAAAACAGACTGAATAAATGACAACTAATTTGACAGATGTAGCATAAACAAGATGACCGTTATAAATTGTCAAAGTTCGAAAGTCCCTGTTGGAAGACCCTATAGTTACATCTCCGAACGTCAGCTGTTCTGATAGCGGTGGAGCTAAAGGATAAATCATTAAATTATTGTTTCATTGTATTGAAAAATAATCGTCAGCCGTAGTGACGAGGGGGGGGTTATATGTCAGTCACGTGCCTCATTGAAAATTCAACAAATAAGTTTATTTCATACCTTAATAAATTCCTACATGTATATTTTTATACTTTTAGAGTTATGATGAAAATCGTCAGTTGTATTTTTGATGGGGAAAAGACCGTCAGTCAGCGCGATAAACATTTTAAATATGAATGGATGTTTCTTTGTTGGTTGGTAAGTGATAAACTTCTACATCGCTCAACCGATCGTGATGAAACGACATGTATAAGTAATTTTTCATAGAGAAGTTTTTAGGCTATAAATTGTTCTGTAACTCGCCACTAGATAGCGCCGTAGAACAATTTTTTGAAAGCACTGTTCTATAACGCTGCGCACGCCTAAGTACGTTGATTCTGATTCTGTCAAAACATTGGAACAACGGCAGCGGCGATACAGCAACATAGTACTAGTTTATATAAATAACACCACATTCTATCTATTAATTTTGTGTCAGTTTCAAATTATAGTAATATTTACTGTAACATGAAGGTATTTGAAGCAGTCAAAGTTTCGCTTCTCTAACATACCTTTCCTAAAAATTATTATTCTGGTCTTCAGGTAGAATAACCTGTAGTAAGTATACCCTAATGGAGTGGGGCAAACTTTCATGAATAAAACAGAGATTTCTACTAGTTTGTTTCTGTTGTGCTGTTCTGTCGAAAGGTATACTCTTCAAAATGTCTGCAAAAACAAAGCCAAGGTGTGTGTTTTGTTTAAAAACAAATGAACCGCTTCATTCGTTCACTACAAGTTTTTTAATAAAGTGTAAAACTATTCTAGATATACGAAAAAATAATAATTTATCGATGAAAGACGCTAAAGTACCAGTGGATGTAAATGACGAACAAAAATATCATTCAAAGTGTTACAGACTATACACAGCATTACCAAAAAAAATATCGTTCAACCTGTGGGTCTGAGCCATCGTCTCATGAATCAAGGTGAGTTGAAAATGTAAGTTATTGGAAGTTATTTATTTTAAATTAGATATCATTATTAGTAACTCAGGGAACTGAATTGAACAGTGAAGCTCAGATTTTTGGAGTATGAACATAACAATTTCGTTTTCGGGCGAGTATATAGAGAGAGGGAGATTTAAAATGGGAAGGGAAAGAGATCTAACTCATAGGTATAAATTGTGTACAGACAAGTTAAATCTCGAGTCAGAATTTTTTGTGGAATTTTGCTGGTGAAAAACTATTTTACCTTGTTTCAAAACGTACGTTGAATTTTCTTATATTATTATTCTTCAAAAATATTATATTTGATTTATATGTTTATGATGTTTCGTTATCAAACAAATTTACAATAAACGAAAAAATCGAAATTGAAAATTTTTTATTTCAAAAGTGATATTGTTGAAACGTCAGATATATCGAAGAAGATGATGNATTTGACAACCTGTTTGAAAAAACTCAAATATCATATGTATGCCGATGATACACAGTTGTATTATTCTTTTACTCCTGACTCTGTACAGCAAAGCGAAAATATCATTAATGAGGATTTGAATCAATTCGTTAATGTATCGAAGAAACATGGCCTGTAAGTTAATAATTCCAAATGCTCTATGATTGTATTTGGAAGGAAAGTCACAATATCAAAACTTAGCGATTTAATCAGAAAAATTGATGACACTGGTTTACCGGTTCTAAATCAGGTTAAAAATCTAGGAGTTTTTATCGATGATGAACTCAAATTAACCAAATTACTCATTTGTGATTGGTTGATACTATCTATTTTCAACCATTGAGACGTTGTGTATCATTATTTTCTGAATAAAAATGAGCAACAACGAATTCAAAGAGTTCAGAACTCTTGTGAGATTTTCGTGCGGTGTCAAGAAAAGAGAACCGATTTCTCGTACACATTAAAAAAGCCAGGTGGCTGAAAGTGTACGATAGGCGGACTCTTCATTCTTCGACATTATTTCATAAAGTTATTGAACAGCTCCCTATCTCTATAACAAAATAAATTATCGAACTGATGTTCATAATGTAAACATCAGGCGCATAATGATCCATGTTGTTAGACACTCTATTGAATTATTCAAAAGGTCATTTACATAGCTCAATTCTATAACAACCTACCACCTTCCTTTCGGTCAAAATCTGTTTCCAGTTTCAGGTACTGCCTGAAAGAACACCTTATGAAAAAACAATAATACCCGAATATCTTCTACATTTGTTTGAAGGTGATTGACAATGTTTCATGATGAATTTCACTAGTTCGGACTTCCATTGTCTACTATATAAAATGATTTGAAATCCCTGAAACAACTANGTTTCAACTTCAATTTGGAAGTCATAATATCTCTACTTTGATAGAGTTGACATAAGATACTGTATGAGCTACGACAAAGTGAATTTATATGTTTGTGAAATCTCATATCATCATCTATCCATAAACCCAAGTTCTTGCTTTCTGTAACGAGCGACCACGAGCAAACATTCACGAATGCTCGCTCATGCTCGCTCGTGCTCGCTTTTTTGGTGAATACGCACCTTTATATGTATTTAAAAAAAATAAAGACACATTACTATTATTATTATTATTATTATTATTTTTTACCGTGGTATGCGCTGGTCTGGCCATATGCCCCGAAGCCCCGATACATTCGGGAGGGCGCGCCAGCATTATCAACCAACGACCATTCATTCCGAAAATCATGTGCCCTGAGCAAGCGCAGTGACACACCGGTGTCTTGTTTATACCGTAAGAGTGCCGAAGATGGTAATATAGCACATATTAAGGCCGCGTTATGTCGATGGATATAGGCCGAGACCGCATATACTGGACATGCTGATAGCAAGAGCATTAGAGTCTCGGGCGCCACGCAGCAGGTCCTGTACCTTGTGTTAGGAACCTCTATACGCAGCACGCGACTGCGATAGACTAAGGTGTTGAAGACACCATCCTGGCAAGCCATGATGAACCCCTCAGTTTCCGACCTCAGCACACTCTACCTGAGGAAAGCGAGAGTCAGGTGTTTTAATGGACCAAATTCCCAATGTTATTGGGGAAGACTCCATGCATTGGCTTATCCTTGTGTTTCCACAGAAGTGAGGTGATCTCTGCGGCTTTTATTTGAGCTTTTTGCTGAACGGGTTCCAACTCGGTGACAGAGTTAGTATTATTATTAATAATAAAAAAAAATATTATTACCTTTTTGCTCGGTATAGAAATCATTTGAACCGATTTTTGTCCAATGACTTCTTCATGCTGTTTTCTTTAGCTCCACCGCTAGTGCGACAACTGACGATCACTTTACTGATTTCTGAACATTAAACAACAGTTTGAAATCACATTCATTTGTCTGACAGATGCAAGAGAAGTTCCGAACACACCCTATATTTGATTATCTTTGCACTTGATTTGCTTCTAAAAACACAATGATTTAATTTATATGAACGGTTTGTTTGAATCCCCTTTCTCATTCCTTTCTGCAGCAAAAAAATTCATAACACTATATTGTTATTCAACTTAGATATTATTTCATTATTTAAGCTTTCAATTTGTCCACATATAATGCGATTCATAATCAAATGATTTACATAATGTTACATGTTTTTCAGTCATGCGAAAGATGTCGCAAAACAATCAATACCTAAAAGACATTTCGGAAAAGTGGTTTGTAGAATGTGCCTTGAATCGGCTGCAAAGACACAAATGGTTCCACTTACAACGTGGGATGTCAACTACTCCGGCAGAAGTGAAGCTTACAAGCAGAATAAAATTTTGCAAACCGAAAGGGTTAACAGTATGATCAATGTTGTGATGCCAAACTTTGTAAGTATAAAAACAAATAAAGCTGATTGTAACGTAATAGTAACCTAATGTAGGCTTTCACAGCTGACGTTAATATTTTGGTTGGTTCTTCTTTGGTTACGATCTCCAAACGTTTCAACTGCAACTAACATTTCTACGAATTTGGTAATCATGCTAGTTATAAATAAGAAATTCTCCTTTTTTGATCAGTCATCACCTACAAAATGTTTATACTAGATTGGCTACTTAAGTATTCCGTCTTCTTGTGATTTCTGCCAGTCTGTTGTAAAATCAATATCAAATTCAAGAATGAAATCTGTAAATTCTGGCGCAGTCGGTAGGATTCAGTATGAATTAGAATATCGTCTATTATTTATAAATTGAAGTTTATTATCGAAGTTACGCATTTTTCTTCTGGTTTCATGTGTTCAGTTCTGATTTGATATATTAGCTTTGGAGTTCATTGAATGAATTCATGAATCACGAACAATCACTTTTTCAAGAAGCATTTATTACTTCATTTCGTTGACTGGCAAATCATTTATCTATTTATGCAATTTCATTTTAATACTAATATTATTCTTGATGACTTTCATTTAACAACTTTATACAACGTGACTCACGGTCGATGGTAGGTTAGACGTTTCTGGAAAACGCAAAGCATGATTTTTCTGAAAATTTCACCTCTCACATTTCCTCACCTGTTCTGTCGATTTAAAATATTTTCAGCATTGCGGCGTTGCCACTTCTATAAAAAAAGTCCTAGCAATTATATTTTTTTAAATGGAACACCCCGTATATTAATACATTTTTGGAATCGTTCTAGTATTTGAATACTTTTTTGTTAATAATGTCCTATACCTATCTCTATCTGTTTTCGAGTTAAAAAATAAATTGTGCTAAATATGGTCCAAAACATAGCCTTAATTGAAATTAAGTACATCAGCACACTCAATTCATGAAAAGTTGATATTTTGATGATAGTTTCGACAAACTCGAAATATTCAAATAACACCAAGAAATCGACTCCATATCATACAGGGCGTGCTAAAATTACTATTATTTCCATTGTGCATAAAACTAGTCGAAAGTTCATTTTTTCAAATGAAACCCCCTGTATATTACTCGATAAATTGAAAGATGGTGAAAAATGCTTCAAGATGATATACACGTCCCTATACCTAAATCGTCAAGTTTTCTTAATAAAGCCGTTTTTGTGGAAAAATAGTTGTTCACGTGTTGAAAGTGACATTTTATTTTGTGAGTGGGGATTATTGCATTATTATTATTATTGCTTCCATTCGCAGTGCAGAAAAAGATTTAGGTGTATCACATGCTTCAGTACAACAAATCTTAATAAAGCCGTTTTTGTGGAAAAATAGTTATTCACGTGTTGAAAGTGGCATTTTATTTTGTGAGTGGGGATTATTTTATTATTATTATTGCTTCCATTCGCAGTGCAGAAAAAGATTTAGGTGTATCACATGCTTCAGTATAACAACGAATTTTGAAAAATCACGGAATGCATCCGTATAAGTTTACCAAAGTTCAAGCCCTAAAAGCAGAAGACTTCGAACGTAAAATGCATTTTTGTGAATTCCTTTTGATTCACACACAGGAAGATCGGGAATTTTTGTCAAAAATAATTTGGAGCGACGAATCAAAATTTACGAGGGATGGTATTTTCAATAGAAGGAATAAACATTTTTGGGCTGATCATAATCATCATGTTACAAAAGAAATGGGTTTTCAAGAAAAATTTGACCTGAATGTTTTCTGTATTTTGAAGAACAATAAAATTAGCTTTTTTAATTATAAAGACACACTGAATGCACTGAGATATCTCCAAATATTGAGGACGACTGTAACGGATTTTCTTGAAAATTTGCCTTTAGAGGAATATATGAATTCGTAGTTTCAACTGGACGGAGCGCCAGCTCATTCCACCCAGGAAGTTTCCAGGAAACTTGACGAACTCTTCGACGATCGTCTAGGGCCGTGGGATTGGCCACCGAGATCACCCGATCTCACGCCACTTGACTTTTTTATGGGGTGTTTTAAAAGAAAGACTATACAGTACTCCAGTGCCTACCAAAGAAGAATTGCGACGGCGAATAGTGCGGAGTATTGAAGATATGGATCCCTAGGAAATTGAAAAAGCAACCACAAGTCGCGTACAAAAAATATTTTAAAGTGTTTAGAATGTAATGGACAACATTTTCAGCATTTATTGTGAAAATGTGATAGTTTGTTTACAATTTTGTTAAAAATTTTCAGAAAAATCATGCTTTGCGTTTTCCAGAAACGTCTAACCTACCATCGACCGTGAGTCACGCTGTATACTCTATTCTTGATACAGGTTCTGTTGTTTATGTTTGAATGTCACTTTTAGTATAAGATTATAATTGCCAAAAATTTTGTCGTTATTTCTGTTTTGTATGTTAGAATGTCCAGTTAATAAAGTCTTTATAATCAACCTTACAATGTTAGTAGGAATTACTAATTTTACAAAGATTCTTTTATTTTTAGGATTTTGACATAGCCTACAATCCAATGATATGCCACAAATGTGTTGCACGACTTGAGTCAGCTTTCAATTTTATCGAGGAGTGTAAAGAATCTGAGAAAGTGATCCATTCGTATAAAACCAAATTTGCTCCCCATCAAGAATTAGTTTCCTGCGACGACGTTGCTCAGAACAGGCGATTACTAGAAAAAGAAGAGTCACGACGAAAAAGAAGGAAGTCTTCCAAACAACATGATAATGATAGATTGGTGACCAGCAGTCCGCTCGGACAAAACGAGTCAATATCTGCCGGCGATACTAGTCAAGTAGAAGTACATGAATTTGAAAGGGTTGATTGTGGTGAGAGCCAAGAAAGCATCACAATGGAAACAAATTCGGAAATTATGACTTCGATCAAATCTGAACGAGAAGATTTGGAATGTGACGACAGCGAAGGTAATTCATTTCTAATAAACACAGCAGATTTAACGTCAGTTATAGTCAAGGAAGAGGTTTCGGTGAAAGAGGAAGTTCCTTGCGATTTCAATGATCTTCCAACGAATGACCAACATTGTGACCTCATTGTGAAAGATGAAGCCTGCTCACTGACTATTGCGTATGGTACAGATGAGAATGATGAGTATCACAGAGATTCTGCATTATCGAGAAAACGAAAAGAAATGGATCCCGAAACTTGATCAGTTATGTTGTTTATATTTTGATTTTTTCCATTAAAAACATTTCAATTTTTATTTATTTATTTATTTCGAACAATAAAAGGTCTTGAAGTAATAATGGTACTGGCCGAATTAAAAGAGCTTGAAGTAGTAATGGTACTGGCCGAATCAATGGTTAGAAGTATTTGTTGAAAATGCATTTAGTGAACCACGCAACAGTGCCCAATACCAATTTTTTTCATTTCGAATACAAACCTCAGTATATTATTCAATTTTTGGATTCTTCAGATTATTCCAGGCATATCTCATGGTCATTATCCTATACCTATCTTCAATTGATTTGAAAATATTAGCGTGTTTCCATATCTACTGAAAAAAAATACATTGATTCAGAAATTCGATACAACATATTCAATTTAGATCTTGAAAATGAGAAAGTAAGCAAAAATCATTTCAGAACCTTTTTTTTTGAAAAAGCTGTATAAGTAATTTTGTGGGAGAGAAGAAGAGACGGGATTTTTAGACGGATTACTGTAGATCGACCACTTCGAGGCTAAAATCTTCGGAAAACATTTCGCAAACCAACGTCCAACAATGCTTTAGTTAACACTATCATTGCCAAATGCCTGATTAATTTTTTTGGGCTTTATCGATCAGTATAAACCACTACACATTAGAAATTTTTATTGAGATACACAATACAAAAATCGTGACATTAAAACGGACAAAACTTTCAAAACGACCTAATATTTACTGGAGGTGGATCAATTCCGTTGATATATCAAATTCAAAATCATTTACAGGCCTATCAATAATTCATTGGATTAATTTTAGTAGAAACTTTCAAGATTAATAATGTCACTCTTACAGTTAGCTTTGGACATGACATTACTAATGTAATGTTTGCCAGGTGGATGGAGATAATATATGAGTCCAGGTCAATTCGTTTACTAGGCAAATCACACTCGTATTTTTTTAATTACTTCAGAATGTCCATTAGTTCTTTTGATGAATTTATTAGAATTTTGAAATGAAAAATTGAACGCTGTGAAACCAATATGAGAAAAAGTACACGACGGTGTACGCGGTTGGGTACGACTGCAAGTTTGTGCTTAGTGTACGGCGGATGCCGCGATGACATCTCGGCGGAGATCAGCAGCAAGTTGACTGCAGACGCCCGTTTTGACTTTTGTGAACGCCCGTGTACGTCTAGTACAGTATTTCTTATGGGTGGCTTGAGTTCGCTGGAACGCGACTGCAATTGTGTGGTCGATCCGACCGCAAAATGTGGCTTGTGTACGGGCTTTCTAACCTTACATATAATTACCGTACATGGACATAAATTAGACTACTCCTTGACTGGTAACAATGTGGTAGCTTCTGGAAGTTACACTTTCTACCTTTGGCTATGTCTAATAATAATAATGATAGGTATTTATTCCCAGAATGATACAATAAATGTGTAAACATTTACTGAAACAGGAAAAGCTGAAGATCAGCAGGTTGTATCAGAAGATGCAACCTCTTTTTCATCCTAGGTAAACTTCTATGTATCAAAACTAATGTCAGGTATTCGAAATTTCGATACCACTGCCACCAATGTCTCGATTTCATGGTTTTCTTATAATTATTAGTTTTCAAACGTATTGAACTGAAGTCACTTGCAAGTATTGTCCATTTTCAAGCAATTTTCTATTATATTTTTGTTGTGACGTCTTAAAGCAAGTCTCAATTCTGAGATGAAAGCCTGACGTAAAGTAGAGCAAGTTTGTTTTCCAAAAGCGTATTGACTAAAAATCCCGTTGACTAAAACTCCCTTTCTCTCACCACTCTTCAACACAGTTGTTTCTACTTCCCTAGTTGAAAAAAGCATTGAGCCATAAAACACTTCTCAGTTCTTATCATTCCCTTTTTCACTATCACCTTTCATATCAATCAATCAATCAATCAATTTATTCATTGTAAATGAAACATTACAACGTCGTTATTTCCTTAGTATTAAAATTAAAATACATATACACAGAGATGCACAGATCAAAATAAAATAAATATATACAAAATTATCATGCACATGTAAACCTACAAGAGATGTAGTACATGTATTATTCATTTATAAAATCTTCTATTGAATAGAAACATTTTTCTATTAGGACATTTTTCAGCCAGATGGAGAATTCATTCGAGTGTTTCTTTTTTGCAAAGTCTGGAATTTTATTATATAATTTTGCGCCCCAATAATCGCATCCTTGCTGTGTTTTCTTCAATCGATGAAGAGGAACTTGCAGTAAATCTTTATTTCTGGTATCATAAGAATGATTGAGTACATTTTTTGAGAACATCTCTGGATTTGCGTGAACATATTTTAGACAACTATATATATATGCACTGGGAATGGTGAGGATTCTATGTTGACGAAAAGCCTCTTTGCAGCTATNGGGACAACTCAGACAGCCAAGATTTAGATAAATCTTCGATAATATTCATTACTACACCAAAAGTTCCTAACTGTGCATCACAAGCTTAGAATAGTTAGAAACTAGATTTCTTTTATGTCATAACAATTTTTAAGCAGTTAGAGGTTGAACTCTGAGCTTGTAAAGCAATTATTGTGGGTTCGATTCACACTGAATGCAGTTTTTTAAACCACTTATAGTCAGTTCACAAGTGCCTTTGACGTCAAACTTTTTTCGTCTCCGAAAAATATGAACGAGGTGTCTTTGATTCAAAAAAAGAAGAAAGTTCACCAAAATAAAGTCTGACCTCTCGGAACTGTAGAACAAATATTTATAATTTTTCCAGAGTTGAAAATACTGAATAAATGAATGAACTATAATATTTCACAAAACGTTTAAATGAAAGTAAAATGTGTTTTTATAGGGGTATAGAACTTAAAAGTAGGCAACACTTTTTTATCTGGTGGCCATTTTATCAGTTGTCAAGTGATTCATGTTTAGTTTGGTTTGGCATTTCAATATGAATAGAGTGACGCCTGAATGACGCTTTCGTATTGTGCAAATTTATTTTGAAAATCATGGTTCCACTCAAAATACGTATCGCGCACTACGTCCATTTTAAGGTCAACATAATCGTTCATCAGACCAAATAATTTGATTAACTATTGGACATTTTCGCAACAAGTTTACTCTAAATAATAATACGCATCCACAGAGACGTCGTACAATGCATATAGAAGAAGTCATTGCTGCTTTGGAGCATAGCGTAGAGGAAGTCCCGAATCAGTCTATCCGTCATCTTGCACAGGAATTGGATATGTGTCCATCTGCTTTATTCATTTATTTATATACCGGCAAGCCCAATTCAGATATAAGTAGTACACTGCTATGTAGTACTTGATGCAATACAGTGGATTGAAAGTAAATTATAAGAATAATACAATTCAGAAGTAAGATAACAAATAGATTATTTAAGAAAAATTAAAATGTATAACAATATGAACTAATATAATTCTTACAGGCAAGTAACACTAGGCACAATACGACAACACAAGCAGAGAATATTAGATGGCTAGGTGAAGAGTATGGTTTTTAAAGCGGGAAACTGATATATTAAAGATTTGAAGGTTATTTAAAGAGTTAGCCAATCGAAGAGTTCTGGGAATAAAGCTGTTATATGAATAATTGAATCTGTGAAAAGAAACGTAAAACGTTTGCACCTGTCTAGTTGAACGACTGGGGACATATAAAGATACTTTTGAAAGAAGCTGAGAGCTGTCCGTTGATTATTTTGAATAGAAGTATTAAATCTGTTTTCTGCGAGCCTCAAGAGAAGGTATGTTCAAAATACATTCCAAGGCAATGAGTATAGTATACACGCATCTTGAAGGCAATATATCACAGGAAATTGTGCTGTACAGCCTCGAGTTTCACTTTTTGTGTAACGTAATGAGGGGATCAATAATTGAGATGAGTTATAACCAGGGAAAAATAAAGAGATTTAATAGCAGTGATGTTGGTGAAATCACGAGTGGTTCTCTTTATAAAACCAAGCATTTTCATAGATTTTTGAATTACAGCGAAAATGTGCGACCTAGCAAGGCGTAGATTCGGTTAATGGGCCCAAAACAAGATTGCTGTTGATCTCAATTTTCATAAACGAATTTTGTTTAGTGATGAATCTCACTTTTGTTTGAATCCATACGTCAATAAACAAAAGTGCCTTATTTGGAGTTATGATCATCCAGAAAGAGTGACTGTTTGGTGTGGTTTATGGGCTAGTGGAATCATTGTCCGTACTTCTTTAAAAACGATGCTGGTCAGAACGTTACAGTCGATGATGACCGTTATAAAGCAATGATTATTGGCTTTTTCGTTTATCAATTGAACAGCCATGTGCAGGAGCTGTGTTTTCAGCACGAGGGTGCAACATGTCAAACATCTCGTGCCACAATTAATTTATTGAAGGAAACGTTTGGTAATCGCATAGTTTCACGTTTCGGACCCGTGAATTGGCCTCCAAGATCGTGCGATTTAACGCCGCTAGACTATTTTCTGTGGGGATATGTAAGTCGCTAGTCTACGCCGATAGGCCCGAAACGATTCACCACTTGGAAGACAACATTATCCGCGTTATTGCCTGTATACGGCCACAAATGTTGGAAAAAGTCATCGAAAATTGGAATTCCAGATTAAACTACGTCCGAGCCAGCCGTGGGGGTCATATGCCAAAAGTCATTTTAAAATTATAATGACAGAAGATTATCTTTCGAATATATGGTGCTACTTGTGAGTCCCTGTATTACCGACTGCTGCTCTGCTTCTCGGCCCTGAATGTGAAAAACATTTGGGAATCAACATTTTTCAATTGGCTGCCACCAACCTAGAAAACATACAACATTCGGTTTAATTGAATAAACGTTCCTTAGCGAAAAATTACTAAAAATTGTGGGACAGGAAATTCGAAGATATCAAATTCAATTCTTCATATAAAAAATAACATTAAAACTAACTTTATCATTACTATAGAGCAAAATATGATTGCATCATGATAAATTATAGTATTGCTGAAGGTATATTATACATAGATTATAGTCTGTACAGGGTGACTGTCTTAGATTTAGGGGTGTAGGGTTCCTGTAAATTCCAAAATAAATCTTCATCTTTCATATGCATAAATTATATTTATCTTACCAACTCAATGTAATAATAATGTATCTATCAGGTGCGGCAAACTACCCAATATTTTCTTTAATTATGAAGCAATTCGGCACCGCCGACAATTGGTTGATTTTCTGTTCCACATCCCTTTCTTTTTCCTTCAATTGCAGAAAATCTTTCTGCAATTTTTTGTGTCTCTCACTCAATTGCATCAGCTGATTAGAAAGGGCCTGCTTTTGCGATATATATTCTTGTTCCCTGTTCTGGAGGATTTTTATTTCTGTTTCCCTTTCTGTAATGAAACAATCAACAAAATAATTTGGGTATGAAAAATAATAATCAGATTTTGTTAATGGAGGTGTCGGCCCCTGATTTTACATAATCTCTTAAAAAGAGAGAATTTCTCAATTATTTCTATCATGTAAATCAACATATATATTTAGTGAAAGAATATTTCACAAAACGTTTAAATGAAAGTAAAATGTGTTTTTATAGAGGTATAGAACTTAAAAGTAGGCAACACTTTTTTATCTGGTGGCCATTTTATCAGTTGTCAAGTGATTCATGTTCAGTTTGGTTTGGCATTTCAATATGAATAGAGTGACGCCTGAATAACGCTTTCGTATTGTGCAAATTTATTTTGAAAATCATGGTTCCACTCAAAATACGTATCGCGCACTACGTCCATTTTAAGGTCAACATAATCGTTACTGATTTTTATTCCACAACGAATGTTTGAAATACAAACTGAGTAGAGAAAAGTATCTTCTGTATAATTCAGTGTTCATATAGAAGTATTTGTTTCGAAAGAATTTTTTTCTTTCGTGTAATTCAACGTTTATATGAAAGTAGCTGTTTCAGGAGGACTTTCTTTTAGTTTGTGTCTGAAAATTACTTCTTTGCTTGATCTACAAATCTTTGAAAAGAGTTCATTTTGAAATTATATGTTTTCTTCCATTGTTTGGAAGATTCCTATATTTGTCTCGAGCGGGCAATTTTTTTAGTTTGTGTCTGAAAATTACTTTTTTGCTTGATCTACAAATCTTTGAAAAGAGTTCATTTTGAAATTATATGTTTTCTTCCATTGTTTGGAAGATTCCCCCTTTTGTATAAAGATGAAGAAGTAGAAGGCCAAAACCTTCATTTCCCAAAAACTAGTTAGATATTTGAAAACAGTAAATTATCCCTGCTGAAAATTATCAACGTTATTGTTATATTTGTTTATCTGTCATTCTAATTCGGGGTGTTAGGAAGCTTCGACTTCAGCTATGAAATGTTGAAACTTAAAATTTATTCTACTCCACCTACAATAATTTTGAATAGGAGATTACAGTGGAGGTTAAAACATCATGAATGTTTCTAGTTACAGTGCGAACCTACAAGTTTTGACTTGTTTGTTTTGTTCGTTAGAAACCCTTCAAGCTCCCCTTGATTTTGTTTGTTTTGAATTAAAGTGGTTTATAGTTGATATGAAAACTGAGTTATATTTTTCTTTGACTCTGACTTCGGCACCGACTCTGATAAATCAAATTTTAAATCTCCTGATCTTACTCCGGTTTGGTGAACCAACCTCTGTAATATCCATGTTTTCATAATCTTGTAATTATAATTTCATGTAAATTTTTAATGAATGAATTATATTATTGAATTGAATCATATAATGATACCCCATGAAAATCCATATAAAAACAGTTTACTGTATTTTCACTACTTCCTTGAGCAGGGCTACCCTGTTGTACAGCAAATTTTTAATAGTGAGAAGCACAGTAAACTGAGGTTGTGAGTTTTTAATTATATTGTTATAGTTGACTTACTTGAAACTATTGATGTCAGGTTTGCCATCACATCAAAAATTGATGAATTCAATGAAGCACCACCGACTTTACCATCTCCAGTGCTTCTCAAATTAGGCATGCCATCAAGGCTAGATTCATCTAGGGAAGTACTGAATGAAACTGCGCTGGTGGTGCCAACATCATCAGATCCCAATTCTCTAGTAATATCGCCTGCTACAGATTGTAGATGCTGCTTACCTTGAAGATGTTCACGTTTATTGTGTAGATTGTGAAACCATTGGTCACAAGTTCGACAATACAGTTCTTCATTATCTTCTTCCTGAACAGCATATGTTGCTTTTGTTTAAATAAGACATATGTGAGTTCAATTGAGGTATATCATAGAAGTGAGTAGATAGAGTTATTAACCGCTTTACACATATGTATTTGTAGTACGTCAGAGGTAACCTTAAGACTAAAAAAAAATCAAACAATACAACTTACAAATTATTATGTACATTTCGACAGGAAGGATACATTTAAAATGAAGTAAATTAATACTGAAACATTTCAAACATGATAGAGGGAGAGACCTAATATTGAATTTTGTGGTACTCTGTGAGTTATATTTTAGATAAAATAGAAGATTTAACCAATTGACATCTACCAGTAGATCCGATTAGTGAGCAATTCCCTCTATTCCATATTGGTGTAGTTTTCTGAGCAAAACTTATGATTCATGCAATAGAATGCTTTATAAAAATCGAAAAAACTTCAAATAAAAATGAAAAGAAGGTAGGTATCATGATTATTTTTCTTGGCTTGAAATCCAAATTGATTTGAGCTAATTATTTCTGTTATGTTTGAGAATTCTGTTGGAACAAATTTCAAGAAACTTTTCAGTAATTTTTGCGTGTGATGTAACAGAAGTAGGTCGATAATTTGAACGGTCTTGGATGATAATGTTCAATGAAACCCACAGCTGCAATGATTTAAGGAACCTTTTTTTCAATGAAAGCTGCAGTGAAAGACAGAGGACAAATCTCATTCAGCGATAGATGTCCAAGCTTGGGTTTGCAACAGACTGCCCTAGGATTCCCCCATAGTGTCACTACATAATGTTGTGGAATTGGCCGCGGTGGTAGTGCGCCCGACTCACGATCGGAAGAACGTGGGTTCGATTCCTATTAATCTGGTTGAGGCGGGGTAGTTCTGCAACAGTGTTAGGAATCGCACGTTAAAAGGTAAGACCTCGTTAGTCCTTAGCTCGTACAAGTTTCTCAACTTCTGAGAGTTGTCGTTCGTATGGGGGCGACAGCTGATTAACGGAAAAACAGATTTTAAACAGACAGACAGAAAATTGCGTTGCCTTTCAAAAAATCAAGAGTGAGTTATCTTCAATGCGGAGAAGATTGTTACGTGCTTCAGAAGATGAACATTTATGCTAGACAGTCTTTTACCGAGGTGAATGTATTGAAGTCAAACCTAAGAGTTAAACAGTTAGTCCCTTCAGGCAATTTGAGTTGGTACAAAATGTTGGTCTTTATGATTTATTTTCATTGAGTTTCAGTCTACTGGTATTAAATTAAATATGCTAATGCTAATTTATTGATCCATTTTTTTATAGCAGAAAATTGTTGAACACGCAAAACACTTCTAACTTTTATACCTCTCATCAACAAACTAATCATACTAAACAGCTGAAGCTGTTAACATATGTTCGAGACGAGTTTACTAGCATGAAAAAACGCTAATCGAATGTACGTAGCCTACGAAATTTGAACAATCACCTCATTTTTTGAACAGTCATGTATATATTTTACGAATTTATTCATATTTTGAATTTCCACACAAGAGAATAAAGTCTACTCTTCTTCGCAAGTCCCTAACCTTTAGTTTACTGTTAATGTAGTCATGCAACGACCCTATTAAGTTTTCGAATAGTCTGAAATAAATTTAAATGCTCACATCAAAATCATCAGTGGCATCCATGTCACTCTCGGAAAGGATATTATACTGCAGCCTCTTTTTCCTCTTTTTAGTAAGATAAGTTCTATAAGCGTCCGACTGTCTGTATTGTTTCAGTTCCTCTCTATACCTTTTTTTGTCTTCTTCAGCTTTCTCTAAATAAGGTTTTTTCTCTTCCAAAGTCAAGCTGGACCATTTATTACCAATTATTTTAGTAATTTCGTGGAAGACTAATTTACTTTCTTTGAACAACTTTCTTTGTTCGTTGAGATAAAGAGTGTACCCTGTTGCCGGAGCCTTGGGCGGCAGATTCAATAACTCGGGTTTCCGTTTTCTACCCTTAGGCCAGCCGCCTCGTCCCTTCTTTGGTTTAGCTGCATCTGCCAGAGTTTTAGCCATAACAGGAATTTGGATGGCAGGTTCAATTTTTATAACTGGTTTATTACAAATAATTTTTATCGTTCTTTCATTCAGGTTAGATTCACTTTCAAGTCCCGTAATATTCAAGGAGGTTCTGTCAATAGTACTTGCTGAAATAACATTTTGTCAGGAATTATTCATTTCAATGGCTTGCAAATAATTTCGACTCACATATTTTTGTCCTCTAATAACCAATCTGAACACTGCACTCTAGTTTTTGAGGTTCAACAATAATGTGTTACATACATACAAAAATACAATAAGGTTTACTTCATCAATTGGTACTCCATATCATGTGTGAATTTGTGTTGGAAAAGTCTATGCTTTTTTTAATAAGTTAGATGAAGTAAGTTTTAAAATAAGTAGAGCAAGCACTAAAAAATGTCATCACCTAACAAAAAATCAGTCATCAAGAGTGTATCATTATATAACATTTTTATGGACTGTACTACCACCTATAATAACTAAATAAAATATTTTTTTTTTAAATACACAGAAGTCATGTTCCATTTGCTACCCTAATTGAAACTAGTTATAGGTACAACACTGGCCGGCAAGGGGCTTATTGTAATCTAATAAGAATTTAGTTGGAAGAGTCTATACCTGTGCCATCACGTTTGGTGCTTGTTATGATCCTCTTTCCATTTTTTGACTGACTTTTTTTAGGACAAATAAAAACTAAACGCTAGTTAGGTGAAGATATTAGAAATATGATACCAAAAATATATTCTGGGGAAAAATGTTTTCATTCTGTGAAAAACTTTTAAAATGGGTGATAAAAAGTCTGCAGCCTGCAATTGTAAAAAGACTGTAGTTATGGATTTTTCTGAAATAGTCAAGTTTTTTCAGTGGCAATACCAAGGCAAGTATAACAAGGCCCCAAACTTTTGCTTCAGATTCGTGATCAGCGGACAAAAATACTTGTGTCCAATGAATATTTCATTTACAAGTTTGAGCAATTGAAACAAATAATTACCACTGGGTCTAATATTTTGTGTATGTCTTCCATATCTGAATACATTCGATTGAATGTCACTCAGTAAAGGTGGAAAAGTTTTGTAGGTGGACTGAACAGTAGATCCAGATGTGGTAGTGCTTATATCACTACATTCACTTGAGAAACCATCGCTATCACAACTGAGATTGGTTTGAGCTAATTTCGAAGTATGTGTTACTACATTCTGCTGAGAAATCAACTGCGCAGCAACGTTTCGTAAGTCATCAACTGATAAGTTTGAATCTAATGAAAGTGCATCATTTAAGGACATACAAATTAAACTAAAAACAAATATTTTGTAAGTAAATACTGAATCTCAAAGCCTCGAAATTTACCCTGTAGTTGTCTCCACGAGAATTCCATTTCCCAATAAATTATTAGCCTCGTCGGCCGTTTCGCCATCCATTTTCTGTCCTAATTTTATTTTATGTTGAAAATGGGAATCCATACCTAGCACATGCTAGTTGAAAAATTCCAGGACTTAGGTGAAAAAGCTTCGACGATTTTAAGTAAACATATTGAACTATATTTTGCTTCAGAAACAGAATCGCATCTTTATTGAAGAAAATTCTGAAAATTGAATTGGTTAGATGATTTTTTTTGTCACTGAACGTCAGACAGAACGTCTGACTGTCCAACTGACAAGACATGACAAATCAGTCACGTTTATGCAGCGTTGCAAAAAGAAAATGATTTTTTTCGTACTTTATTATATAAAAATGTAATATGTATGTACAATGAAAAGGTAATACTATCCTTATAGCCAGTTGTTAGATAAGAGGCTATTGACATAGTATGAAGATAATATCTTTATACCATGCCTTGCATAGTATAAAGAAATGAAGATGCTCCATAAGAAATTTACTGTTTTTATAGAAAAGTTGTAAAACCCAGGGTTCGTTAATAAAGGGAATTACGAAATGTCCAAGATTTTCCTGAAACGTTTGTGAGTCACTGGAGAAAAATAACTCTAAATTTGGAATGATATGGAATATATAAGTAAAATCTGGCAGAAACGTCCATTTCAATAGGTATCATTTAGCTTTTGGAGCCTATTTGTGTATTGTCGATACACAGTTTTTCAAAGACTATGTTTTATTTTCAAAAATAATTTGGTGATATGTGTACCAGATTGGAAGATTTAATCGTGTTTTTGATTTTGCTGAAATTAGGAAGGAGTTCGTAAGAGTTTATCTGGCATTAAGGTACAAGCCCTCACACTAAGATTTTTAAGGATAATTAAAAAAATCTAGAAAATCTCTCTTTTGATGAATTCATGAGATCATGTGTTAGGTATTACTTTCAGGAAATATTGACTAAAATTCAGAATCAGGAAAGGATGATATGACATATCTTTCATAAGATTTTTTTTTCAGAATATCTCAACATGGTATTAATTTATTGAAGAAGGATTTGACTAAAGTTCTCAGACCATTTTTCGAAAGCCTTCTGTAGGATCTCCAATGTAGAAGAATTTTATTCCATAATTATTATTTCTAGAGTGAACAGACAAAAATCAGACAGAATCATAAATTTTCTGTATGATTTAAGAATTTGCAAACGGAATTCCTGACGTCATCGGGGTAAAAACTTTGAGCACGCTTTATATGCTTTATATCTGAAGTTCTTTCAGAAATCGTTCAAAAGCAGCAACCTCGGTGTGACAGACAAATCATATCAACAGAATTATTTTACTAAAGTACAGTTGTCGTCAGCTAGAACAGTGTATTAACTTAGATAGAAATTCGACGTTTCTTAATCACAAATCCTGTGTAATCCACACAAACTACTCAGTAACGGCGTCCATCAGGTCTATCAAATTCGCAAACAGTGTTAAACATAAATACAAATCAATTTCGTCATATGAATAACAGGCTTTTAGTAAATCAACAAAATTTGAAAATTGGTTTCACAATAATGGAAGTATGGAAGTTTATACTGACGTATAAGAAAATGAATATTTCGAAATGAAATCTCGAAACAGTTATTTTTATTATTATATCTCCCAACGTTCATATACAGAAGGTTCTGGTAAGTGCCTGCCGTAAAACAATTTCTTTTCCGGCTAATACCACGCTAGATATTGATTTATTCCCGACAGACCAAGATACTTCACAGAAAAAAGTCTTATAGATGCTTTTCGTTCATCCAGCAGCAAGACCACGCTGAAATCAATCGAGTAGATCACATATATAGACCGGTTTCGAGGTCTTAGGTATCTGTCATTAGTGCGGTAAAGATTCGACCAATAGAGCATTGTGCCTTGGGCTTGAATGACTTCAACGCGGTTCGACTCTATGTATGTAATCTTCATACTAACCGTACTTTCTCCAGTTCAGTAGTTCATTGTGATTTGATTCAGTAGAAAACAATCGCCTACGCTTGTTAATTTATTGTGTCGTGGGCATTGACTATTAATATCGTGTTCTGCGAATTTATTTGTCAATTTCATAGATTAGAAGTTATTATTTGGAATACATAGGTATTGTTATACCACTGTAATTCTGTAGTTATACTGTTGAGTTTATAACTTTTTAGCACACATAACCAAGCTGATATGCATTCGATTCTTGAATCAATCTCACGAAACAACACCGTGGTGAAAGTTGATTAGATTTCAATTCAGACAGCTCGGTGTTCACTGCGTGCTAGGAATCGCACGTTTGAAGATAAAACATGTTTAATTTCATCTCGTCAAAATTTCGAATTCAGAGACTTATCGTTCGTAATAGGATAATCCATCCTATATAAAATCATCCCAACTGTTCTAGGGATCGTAATGGCTATTCAAAGTCCCTTAAGCAATGTAACATAACAGAATCAAATTATTCCACCTCTAAGAAGATAAGTTCTTGCAAAAAAACATATATGGTATAGATTAGCCTTCGAAGATTAGTTACAATTATTAAACATATGTTTGTTGAGTTATTATACTGGCTTTCCATGTTTCGAAGGGAAGTCCTGCAATTTAGAAGAAACCATGCTTTGAGTCATGGAATGGTCTTGTTTCTATTGAAAACGGAACGTAGTTCCTGTTAACATTTAATAACTGTGAAATGTTTAGGTATTATTACTATTATATATTTTTTATCGCGTTATCACAATTATTTATTGTTTTCATAAATAACAATACTACTATTCTGATAATTTTGTTGGTGTTTGTCGTTTTCAAGTACATTTTGACAGCTTATGCAAAATTTTCATTGATTTGTTCATCAAATTTTGGGTTTCAGTTTTGAAAGGTCATGAAAATTTGACCTTGATATATTGAGCAAACAAAAGTTACTTTATGACTGAATTTGTTACTAAATTATTTAAACTTCAGTACGAAAATATCGTGTGGCAACGCTGCTTTAATAACTTTATGACAATTGACAGTAATGCATTTTTTTTTTAATGACATTATTTGACAATTTTGTCATTGTTTTTTAATCGAAAATGAAATGAAATACAAGTGAAAAACTGTTTTTCCGTAATATAAATTTGAAGATGTTATCACGTATAGTTACTAGTGTTATTATAAGAAGAATAAATGCTCAATTTCAACAAAAAATCGCCGTTGGCATTAACCTACAACAAAATAACTGGTTGAATTTTGTTAAACATTATTCAAATAATCCCATACCGGAAATATATTCTCCGATAAAAAATGAAAAACAATCTCAACCACTGGGGAAACTGAATGGAAAACTATTTTTAGGATATACCTGCAAAGTCTGCAGTACTAAGAATACAAATTACATATCAAAAGTTGCTTATGATAAAGGAGTGGTGATAGTGAAGTGTTCTGGTTGTAATAACAATCACTTAATAGCAGATAACTTAAAATGGTTTACTGATCTTGATGGAAAAAGAAATATTGAGGAAATATTAGCGGAGAAAGGAGAATCTGTGAAGAAAATATCCACAAGTGACTGTATAGAAGCTCTGAAGATAAGCAGATGATTTTTTTTGTGTTCATTTAAATCTTGTAATATATTTCATTTTTGCATATTCTGTAAAAAACTATCTTTTATGTTAGAAGAAAAGACATTTGTCTTATTTTAAATAAAATAAATGATAAATATGTAATTCCAATCATGAAAGTAATTGTGAAACATTTTTTGTCCAATTAACTAGTTAATTATTTTCTTGGAACTTATATTACTTTAAAAAGAATTAATTTTTTTTAAATTTAATATTAATAAAACCACTGTACATCTTTATTTGGATTACTAATGAAAGATATCAAAGAGAATGAAAAGTAATTTATAAACACTGCACAAAACAGCTGACCATTTATTTCTCTGCAGATTGAATATTCGGGGTATGTTATTAACCAAAGATGTTAATAATGATTTCTCAACTTATCCAAGTTTTGAATATGTACACAAACTCTTGACACCAAGCTAATATATCCAACCTTTAATCATACCCAACTTTTAGATTATTTTTCATCAAACACATCATTTCTGAGGAAAGGTAATCATGTGTTGAAAATGAGCTAAATTAAATAATAATTTAATTCAAATTCATTAAAATCAAGGTAAGTTATCATGGCAGTTTAATTTTCATATTTCCTTATAACAAAGAATCCTTACTCCAAGGTTGACATAAGAACGAAGGAAATTTCTCAATTATTAAAATCAATTGAAGCTTGCCAAAAACTGTACTGCAAATTATAAAATCTTTGGCCTACATAAAACGGTATCAGTAATAAAGAGGGCATAACAAATTGATAATGAAGGAAACATAGAAAGTTACATTTCATGGAACTCTTATCTATTTGAATATATTAGTGTGAAAACATAATAAATTATTCGATTATTAATTCTCCTTTGAGCAAATAGAAGTTTTTCATAAAAAAATATAACTATCAAGGTTAACAGATCAACAGTACTCTTGTCAGATCAACAATACTATTATCAGATCATTAGTACTTTTCTCACAATTACAAAAATAAGGCACTCTGAATCATTAAAACTATTTACAATTGTGATGGATCCAGTAAAAATATCACAGAGATTGGTACACCAGATCATTAAATCGATAATAAATTTACAAGAAAATACTGAGTTTAAAACTTAAGTACTCAAAATGAAATTTTTTCAATTATATCAGTTTGCATTGTCAATTTTACAGACAATAACAGATTTTCAATTTCAAGCGAAAACAATAAAATACAGTGGAAAATATTTGGTTTGTAGTTATTCCTTTAAAAAATATTTCTTAAAGATTAAAAAGAAATAATTCATTGAAACTACTCATTTTTTTCAATCAGAAGCAAGTTGGTGAATGATGATCAGTATAAAACTATTTTTCTATTAGTTCTAATAGATAAAAGTTTATTGTTTAGGCACATGAAACCATATAATCATGAAAATAGATATCGTAGATGTCAGATTTTTTGTGACCTTGAAAAAAAAATTGTTAATCAATTTCCCATTGTCACAAAATTTGAAAATTCCATTTACTTGCAGGAAATAATACAGAATACCTTGTGAAATTTTCGCTGGACATTTCACAAAACCGCAATACGTGTTTCGCTATACAATAACTTTCCCAAGAGTTTTTATACTGACTGAATTCTACCTAATTTGTGCATTATTGAGTAACAATTTGGATCACATGACCTTCTATGTAATTTTATTTTACCTGAGTTCAGATGAGAACTGATTGAAATTTTTTAACATGATAAAATAAAATTCCACCAACTTATTAAATGGACATGTAATAAACTAATCACATATAGATAAGGTATTGATGATTCAAGTAAAAATTTTGGTATTTCATGTACAAGTTTAATTAGCCGAGCTAAATGACATTGACTATATAATTGAATATTCAAGGGTTTGTTTTTCAAACTGCTTCAGTTTACTTGAGAATGGTTTAATAAACCGAAACCGGTTGTAACAAATTAAAAGAAAATGTGAAAGATTCAATAATCGGTGAAGCACACTGTTGAATATTCCACTCAAAAAGTAATGATCAGAAAGTACTGGATTTTATTAAATAAATCACTGTTAACAATGATTACAAGGTAGATATCATCAACCTCATTCTTTCCAAAAAAACTGTGAAAACAAGTCATTTATGTCATAGGAAATTGACATACTTTAGTGAATCCACCAATAACATCACTTGTTTTTTGAAAAGGATAGAGTCATACATGGCTTGCCGAACAAATAATAATTTAAGTAAATTTATTGAGAACAATAAAGACAAAATTACTGTGTCAGGAATATATAAGTTGACTTTAAGTTCTTTCCCAAAACTTCATATTGGCCAAACGGAGAGAACATTTTCCCAAAGAATAAAAGAACATAGAAGTAGTTTCTGGAATGTGAAGAATTCATAGTACACTTTTGCAAACCGTCTTTTGACGACTATGAAGAATTAAATTTCAAAGAGAAACTTTTTGGAATGCCTAGAAACTGAAAGATATAGGAATTCTGAAAATTTACTGTGGTAAATTAGTTTATTACATGTCCATTTAATGAGTTTGTTATGAAGCACGCTTTAGAATTAGTTTATTACATGTTCATTTGATGAGTTGATGAAATTTTTTTTAATGATGTTTGAAATTTTCAATAAGGTTTTGCCTAGACTCAGGTAAAATAAAATAAGTAGTCTCTCTATCTCTCTCTTTTTTATTGGCCGATGCTTCCTGTTCAGGCACAATTGGGGCCAGCTCAATATGGGGGGTTGTCCTTGTCTGGGTTAGCACTCAGTAACAACCCTTATATTTTAATTCTGAATCATGCTGTCGACTTATTAGTGTTTGTTCGTCTACTTCTTCTCGTGCTATGAGAATGTTAGGGATTGACAAAGATACACAAACAATTGGTAGAAGGTAGCATGATCCAAATTGTTATTATATAAAGCATAAATTAATTAGAATTTTAAGTATGAAAATGTTCGAGAAAGCTATTGTATAGCGAAACATGTATTGCGATTTTGTAAACTGTTCGGTGAAAATCTCAAAATAAAATGTTACGTGAACACGTTATGGATTTTCATCAAGTATCGGCCAATTCCATCACATGATAAATGCCCATATATGTAACCAAGTTTTGAATAACATATATTTACATAGGCAGCTTCATATACTTCAAATATTTTTTGTAGTTTCTGAAAATAATAACATGTGACAGGTGAAAATGTTTCTAAGTTGGTTTTTCAGACCACTGCAAAGTCAGACATCCCCATTCATGGTTTCACTAGCCAAAACCTCAATTTCATTATGAAAATTCGAGACTCATGATATTCTAAAAATGTTGTTCCCTTTTGGAATGTATTTAAGACGATATAGAACAAAAAATCTATTCATTAAAATGAACAAATATAAAAAATTTGCCATCAAAAACTGAAAACTCTGTTCAGCGCTCTTTCATATAGAACATAATAGTTATGGCTAAGGAAGCTTTTATAAAATAGATTCCTGCTTTTATAAAATAGATTCCTCGTCGACAGACCTGTTTTCTCTTTTACCAAACAAATTCCTTCAACTAACTTCGATGAAGAAAATCTGACTAGACCCGTTTTGGTTTTGTTATGACGGCATATGCCTCTTCATTGTGAAACTGATGATTCACCTTGGCATCCCTTTTCTCCTTTGGGTCGATGATTACTTCCTTCTCTGCACTATGTACTTCAGTGTTCAAACACTGGACTTCGTCATAGTCATTGAAAGAGGGCGGCTCAAAACTCGAATTCACAGGTATCGGGAAAACTTGCTTATAGGGAGAATTCGCGTTTAGTTTGCTGGTGGATCCAAAAAAATTCAGTTTATCATATCTACCACTAATGGCACCTGTTGTGTTTCTGGTGATGATGGCAGGTGCGAGAGGCTGTTTTTGCTTCAAAATTTCTGATTCTTGCTTGACTTCACCCCAGGAGCTATACTCTGCATCATCACTTATTGTTTCAGTGTGACTAGGCGGGTCTGTGCCTAAAGTTTGCCAAGCATTGCATTTAATTTCTACCTCGTCATACTTTCGATCTATAGGCTCATATGTTGGATCACTATCAGGGGGTGGTTTAGGCGCATATTTCCTAGGAGGTTTCATAGGTTTCGCCTTAACAGCTGGCAACATATTAATGTTTGGTTTGACGAACGGTTTTGGTTTGATCAGATCGTTTTCACTTGATGCAAATTGAGATTTGCTTGAAATTGTACAGTCTTGGAGCGAGGGCGCCGTAGGGGAAGGTGGCAGAGGAGTTCTAGATCTCGCTTCCATAGTCAGAGCTGCGTGCAGGGCATCGCCGCAGTCCAGCACTGGCGAACTTTCGCCGGCAAGCATTTTCTTCATGGATTTCATTTTGGTAGCAAGGCATCTGAAAACAAAAGTCAAAATCGTCAATGTAATTATTTTATGGTTTTTTATGACTGGTTTAAAAACTATCTTTCAGAAATAAGATATAAAACACTAAAGGCCGTTTTAGACATCATAGTCCTGTCTTTATCTTGAAATTTCTGTCTTAAATTTAGTCTCAGGAAACGTATCATTTATACATTTTATATCTTCGTCTCAGTTTTCGTCCTCGACTGATGATTTTGAAAGTTCCCGACTTTCCACGATTATGATTAAGATAAAGTAAAAAATCTGGCAGTTGGTTACCTACTAATTACAGATCAATAGCTATAATGTGCAATTATGGCAAACTATTCAAAATCATTGTATATATCTAAATATATAACTTTATTAGAAAGGTAATAAATAACTCCAAACAGAATAAATTCATGTAAAAAAAATCAAGAATCGATGTCTTAAGTCAGCGTAATACGTAAATGATTTAAACACTAACTTGAGAATTGTATAACAACAATTTTTTTTATCATTATTAGTTAGGGTTGAGTTAAATTAGGTTAATGTAGTCGATTATTTCAATAAAATATTCCAAGATAATCAATGACAATTTGTACATTTCAAGCTTTGTCAACAAATGAATGCTTAATATGGTATAGCATATCTATTATTATAAGTTTTTTTTTAAATTTTTTTCCTTCCTATCCAAAATTACAAAATATACCTTTCAATTCACCTTTCAAAATGCGGGACCCTCGCAGACTATATTGAACTTGAATGACCGCCGATTAAAAGTAGTTTGCAGGTGCCTTGTGAATTCAGTTAAACAAACCAGATGTAACCTTCCTTCCTACCCTCTTTCCTTTCCTTTTCTGGCAAGACACGACTCTCACCTCCTCGTTGGTTCTTGCTGGGCAATAAAATTTACTTTTAAATCTATTTTTATAAGCATAATTAAGTACTTGTGCTCATAAAATATTTGTAGCAACTTTTAACAAAACTGCTATATTGGAAGAGAAAAGTATTATTTATTGACTGAGAAGAGTTCATTTATATTAAATAACTCAAAGACAACCTTTTTTCCTTGTTTTTGTTTTTTCAATGGTCAGTTTAATACGTATAATTTTCGGCAATACACAAGTTTTGTTTACATTTATGCAAATATTACGTATTTTGCTTGAAATAGGTGCGGTACCCCAAAAAATTTTCGCGCCTCCGGCAGGCTTTTCTGTGTGTATATAGTCTTTATAACTTTAGTCTCCCCTGTTATCCAATGCAATGCAGAGCCGTCACTGTCTAAAAATCATTATATAAGTGAAGTTTGGTTACTTATGTTGATTTATTTAATTGCTGCAAAAGCTATCCAACTTTTTCAAGTTCTAAATATTTCACTTACCTAAATATTTCTTGCTGATTCGGATTTTCTAGGAAAAATGTTCCCTCTCCAGATTCGCACTTTCTTCCAGCTTCAAAAGTAAATTTATCCGACTGGTACCCATATCTTCTTATATAACAGTAAGGCCAAGTATATAAAAGTTTATTATCTGCAATATTCATAAGCTGTATCGCAGTTGAAGTCAGCACTAAAGTATAATTTTTGCTTTCCAAACCGCATCTTACTGATACAGGAGAAGGGTGCAATTTAACATTAAAAACTCCTTGGCCAGACGAACAATATAAATCATTATCTTCTTCAATGCTAGTGAGCTTAGAAGCCTCTTCAGGGAAAGCTACAGATCTTATTGCACTTAGCCATTCCTTCATGGAATGTTCATTTAAAGCTCCAAATTCATGAACGGCAGTTCTTGTGGTGACACCAAATGTTGTAGGTGACTTTGAGTTTATTTTTATACAGTCCTCCAGGGTGATTATTTTGGATTCTTTCGAATCTACAGATTCATACACCTCCAGCCTTTCTCTTCCAAATTTGCTAGCTTTAAAAAGCAAGCAGTATCTTTGTTGCCAAGATTTCTAGAGTGGAAAAAATATATGGCTAAAATGAAATGGTAACTATGCATTGGTAATTTATACAAATACCTTCAGTAATTTTCCAACAGGTGGTAACAAAAGCAACCCTTTGTACATTGGCTCTTCCAGATCCATTGTTTTATTCATTCGTCACCAGTGTGATATAGAAAAAGTAAAATGCTTATCGGCTTTCCAAAACCGCATCCACATCCCACTTGTCAAATTTATCTACCATTCCATTTCCCAACCCACAAAATTTTTACATTTATCATTTTCATCACATCACTTACATTTTATATTTATCAGGTTTTTGCAATGTTGCCAAAGATTTGCTTTAGTTTATAAATAATAATATGTCGTGCCTTAATATATTTTCAGAGAAATATAGTATTAGTATATTTGAACGATAATTAATACATTATTTGGCGATTAGAATTAAGAAAATCATTGAAGTTTAATATTATTCATTGAAGACGTTTGCATTTACAGGTTGAATTAACAATTTCACCTAATTCAGAGGGAGGGAGAGCATAGATAAAGTATGTTTTCTCTAGAGGGCGAGAGAGACGAAGAAACAGAAGTGGGGATGTTCCAAAGTTTTGGTTTTGGGCCGTCGCGTCGATTTATATAATGTGATATTTATAATAATTGTCGTAACTAAACATCGATCAAATACAAGAAGGCAAATCTAGAGATCAATAATAATCTATAAATAATGATAATAAAGGCACCATGATTCAATAACAGCGAATCCGATATCTACTGAGTTTCAAAAATACCTGACTAGACAAATTTTCTCAATCTAGCGTTGCATTAAGGTTGTTGTATTTTTATTTATTACTTGACGTGTTTTTGGCGGTACTATATGCATTTTTAGAAATATTAGGTCCATTGCCTCATTCTCTTTGCGGTTTGGTAACAGTTACAGAAAATATATTCTGTGCCTCTAATTAAATATTCTATTCTATCGGTATCGACCGATTCCATCACATATTGATAATTAATTAATTTTCAAGTAATTGTCTTTGCTATCATAGGTTAACATTTCGGACAATATTTTGGCATGGACTTGTAAGAGTTGGGCTATACTTAACTAAGAAGAGAAAAAGCATTGATCTCTATATCAATTACATCAACAATAGAAAAATTTATGATTGTGAAAACTGTACAATGGGAACATAAAATATTCTCATAAACAAAATATTCTGGTTCACTTATTCACTAGCGCCACTTTGCTCAATATCTCCTCTAGATTACAGAGGACACCGTTGCCAGGTGAACTGAATTTATCATTGTATACAATAAAACAGATAGGAGTCCTCAATAGGGGATATCCGACTTCTTATGACCTTGAAAATAAAATACGACAATTCTCCATCCTTCTTATTAGAAAAACTAACATGAATATTTAGTGAGAAAATACAACCACTAAAAATAGTGAAAATTCAAAATTAGTATATCATTTGAGTATAATATTTGAATTGTTTTTTTTTTGAAAATATTACATTAACAGGACTTCGTATATTGATACCATAGCTGAATACAAATTATATTTTCCCTTTTCCGAAGGCTGTTGGAATATTAACAATTTACCAGCTTACAGAACTGTGCCATCGACATCTCTGAAATATCACATTGTGCTGCATACGTTAACACGATATCTATCAGAAACATTCTGCCGGACCAAGCGGCAGATGTCGGGCGCACTACCACTGCACTAATTCACCGCTACAATAGCTTTTTTATGTCGACAAAAGTAATGTAATAACACCTTCTGTAGGACATTATTCCACGAAGTATTTGAATTCAATAATTAGAGATTATAATTATATCCTAGTGAATACGCTTGAGCTTTCTAATATGTATCGATTTAAAAACTATAAATGTAATGTATATCAGAAAAATTAATTTATTACTACATTAAAATATCAAAAGTATAGCGAAACACTTCGATCAATTCTCAGTATTGCTTTTTGAATCAAAAATAAACTTAGCATAATAAGGTGCTAAATTTATTTTCAACGAGTATTTTATTGAGGCCTGAGAACAGGAAAAAGTTACTGGGGCTAGATAAGGAGAATGCGGTGAATGCCAAAGAAATTCAAAGCTCAATTCATGCAATTTTGCCATCATTTACATTGATTTGTGACACGGTGCATTGTTTTGATGAAACATCACCTCCATTATCTTCAAATGGGTTCATTTTCCGCCATTTCGCCCATCAGATGTTCCAATAACGTTATGTAATAGTCGATGTTGATAGTTTTTTCTTTTTCAAAATAATCGATGAATATTATTGTATGTGCATCCCAAAATACTGATGACACAAACTTGCCGGTCGACTGTTACGTCTATGCACGCTTTGGAGTCGGTTCACTATGTGCAGTCCACTCAGATGACGATCTTTTTGATTCCGATGTGAAATGATAGAGCAGTGTTTCATCCATTGTCACATGACGCATAAAATTCCAGGTTTTTTATTGTAGACCAGTTTCAAACACTGCTTAGAATCATGAATTCGTTTTGTTTTTGGTCGATTGTGAGCTCGCGTGGCACCCACTTTGAACAGAGCTTTCGCATACCCAAATATTCATGTACGATATGTCTAACACGTAACTTTGATATCTTTAGAGCCTCAGCTATCTCGCTCAACTTCACTTTGCAGTCATCCATAACTATTTTGTAGACATCTTTTACCTATTCGTCAGTAACAGCCTCTTAGACCAATGACCTCGTAGTTGACGCCTTTAAACCACAAAAAACAGCATCTTTGTGGCGTCCACCGTCCTCGGTGCTCATTTCACCTCGTTTAAACTTATTAGCAAACCACTTTTCAAAGGTTGATTTTCCCGGTACAAAGTCCGAATAATGTTTATCAAGCCAAGCCTTGAATTTAAAAGTTTTTTTTTCCAAAAAGGAATGCTTTATCAACACACGAAATAACTTTTTATCCAAATTGCTTCACTCAAAATGTTCTATTTCACAAACTAATAGTCCGATACGTGCCTTTTGAAGGTTAGGGTTAACTAAGAAGTCTGTATGTCAGCCTACGAAATTTTCAGACTATCGTATACATGAGACTTCTCAAATCTCTTACATTGTTAGTACTTATCATTTTCTTTCAGGTGTACTCTACCTTGTGTTACTAACTTTTGTTTTCACTGTTCTAATGTGAAAGTATAGCATATCTTCTTATATGTTTATTATAGGGTGTTCTACTCGCCATTGTAATCTAGAAAAATAACATTTTATATACTAACATTAACCAATCACGACTATGAGTTTTCATGGGGTTTCCATGTTTGTTTACAAAGTAACTGATTTTTAAGGAAATGTCAAATCTGCATTATGAAATTGGTGAATAAACATTATTATTATTATAATACCTATATGATGAATTATGAATCTGAATTGTGGCTTCAGTTCAATTGAAATAATTATTTCAATTTTTATTGACTGAATTCATGAAAATCAATTAACAAATCATCACAAAAAACACAAATCATGTTTTTGAACTACCCTCGTATTTATCATCGGCCAGCATTGAGCACACTTTCCATTCCAATACCCCTCGTAGCAATGCACAATGTGACAAAAATGAAATATTTACATGATACATGAAAGTGCCGCCTGGAGAGTGATTCTTCTTGTGTTTATTTCTGTTTAAAATTGTTAACACAAGTTTTCAAGAAATAAACAATACAGAAAGAAATAATGTATTACATCAAAATTAATGTTTTATTTCTTTTTCTTTGTCTCCTTAGTTGAAACGTTACATTCCTGACACAGCCGAGTACCACTAATAATTTCATATACATATTCAGGAATATGTTCTTGTTTCAAGCTTGGGAAACGTTTATTGATAACTGAAAGAAGGCAAAACTGTAAATAAATATTTATTAAAACAATTGTAAATAAAATACCCATGGAGCAACCTAGCCCCTGACATTTCCTGAAGCAGTAAACCTGTGCGATTTCAGCTTATCAGCTGAGAATATTTCTAGAGAGTTGCTTCAAATTCAAAAAGGTGTAATAAATGTTAATTTTGAGTAGAGCCCAGAACTGTAATATCGAGATTCTCATTGATTCCAGCTTATTTTCCGATCTTCTGTATCGTTGGTTGTACACTGATTTGACACAGTACTCTGACATCACACGAAACGCTCCCATGCGAGCCCCAGTTCGCAAAGTGTGTTCAATACCTCTGATTAAGTCATTGGTTTTAAAAACTAACAGCATTTGTGGGTTAACGTTTTGTAGAATTTCAGATATTTGTGGAAGAATTCCAGTAAAAGTCTGTTTCATGAATTTCACTTCGTTTTTAGACAGCTGCTCCCTGCAATAATAAAAAGTGAATCAATGCATTATTTTTTAATATTCAAACATAGTTGAAGCCTGAGGATAAGAGCTTTTTCGCATTCAAGTTTTCTTTATTCAATTTCAGCTCATACCTACGTGAATAACAGTATTAAAACTAGACACCATACAGTGATAGTGGTAGTGATAGACAGTTTGGGCATCTGAGAAAAACTTTGTTTGGAAAAGTGAGAGTGGCACATTGTTTTTATCTATATGGAAAGACCAAGGGGTAGCAATTCATAGATTTTAAAAGTGGAACTCAGGAAAAAAACATTTATTGTTATAACAAACTATAGACAAACATAAGTTGCTTAATTTATTTATTATGATATTTGTCTCATAAATGTAAAGGCCAGCTCTTCATAATGACTAATAATGTTTTAAAATATTATTATAATAATTGTTTATTTAGCACATGACTGATTCACAGTCAAATGTATGAGGTCTGTTTGGGACATTATTCTTATTGAAAGTTTTTGCAATTTTTAAAGTCTACAATTCTCATTTTGAATTAGAAAATATACTGTGCAAATATAGTGCTACTAATTATAATTTTTGACTATTTTGTTAATTAACGAACACCTGTAAAGTATCCCAATTTTTGTTGATGTTTTTTCGATAATATAACTTGCATACTCTCTAAAATTCAATTTTAGGTCTATAATAACTCCTCGATCATCTCGTTATCAATTTTTAATCAGTAAACCAGCAACTGAAAAGTTGAACTCGGAATCGGTAAACTGACCAACAAATCTGCATTTTTAAGGAATAAAAACCTCACCAGAGTTGATTTTATTCATAATATATAAAATATTTGTATTAATTTACTGGCAAATATCTAACTTAGTGCTTAGTAATGCAACGACACCTTGAGATAATGGACCCTCAAAAAAAAGTAATATTTGATTCTGAGATGTATTTTCGGAAAAAGTAGCCAGTGTTATTACTTACTTATCAATACCTCTAACAATGCTGTCCCAAGTTCTTCCTGTGATCATGCATGTAAACAATCCATATGCATCACCATCTATACCTAAATTTCGACAGTGCTCCCTCATGGCTTTACGGTCTCTGTTTAGAATGCTCAACCATAAGTTTGCATACTCTACTCGAAATTCATCCTTCAGGTTCTGAAAAGAAGTTGAAATATTGAAAAATTAATAGTAAAAAGCTATCTGTATTGTATTTGTTTTGTGAATGAACCTAAATATATTTCTGTAGAAAGGACAAAAGTATGAGGAAACAAACCACACTTCTCACAAACCTGAACGTACCGCATATAATCCATGATCCAACAAAACAATATCACAACGTCCTTTCTCAGATTTTTTTACCAGAATATTCCCAGGATGAGGATCACTGTGTACGAAACCATGAATAAAAATCATCTTTGAATATAACTGTCCCAATTTATCAGATATTTCAATGGGATCTATTTTATTCTCTCTGATGTAATTCAGATCATTAACCTGTCCCCCTTCTACGAAGTCCATGGTAAGCACTCTAGGAGTTGTTAAGTCCCATCTGAAAGTCGTTAGATTATTGGGGAATGAACAATTGACACATATACTTTTAATGAAGGCAAAACAAAAAATCAGTTGTTGAGTTTTTCTCATAATTTGAATCTGAGGCGATTTTTCCAAAATGTGGTACAGAAATCTGACAAACTCAAAATACACTTTCACCGAAGTCACCACTGCTCTTGCAATAGATTGAAAAAATAAGTTGAACACTTTAAGGATGATAATTTAATCATTGGTGGTAATAGTGACCTGTAGAATGAAGTTACAAAATTTATACCTTCCAGGACTTCTATCTGAGTATCGTTCACATACATGGAAAATATTGGTGAATATATATTTACAAATGAAAAATAAAACTTTACGTTTTTTTTCACTATTATTTGTAACTAATGTTACTGCAGTTTCATCCTATAAGGACAATTTCAAACAATTACAACAAACTGAAAATAAATCATAATGTTTGTCCTATATATCTACTGTAGGTAATAACAGAGGTTCTTAACTCAATTGAGTACCTGAAATTTGTTTACCTGTGACAATATGGATACACTAATTTGAAAACCGGCGAGTTTCGATTTGATCATTTAGCAGATTACATTCGCAATGTACATATGCTTATGAATTTCCAAGGATTCCAAATAATTGAGATTCAAACCTTTGCTTGCATAGTGCAAAATTTCCGTATCCGTATTTTCGTATTTATCCAAGTTAGCATCATCTCCTGATGATGCTAACTTGGATAGCGAAACGTGCGTTGAAAGACATCACTTATGCACAAAGTCACTAAAAGAAGCTTACCACACGTTTGTGGTTAACCTAGAATTTCTAGGAATCATCTAACATGTTCCCTACCTGTGTGACTTTCGGGACCAGTGTAAAAACTCAAACATGGTACCGAGCACTGAAATATACATGAAAAAAAATAGATAAACATTGACAAACATATGGAGATAATTTTAAATGTACTTAGCATGGTGAAAAAGAACCTTAGTTATAACAGTTCATTCAATATAGGTGTGAAACAATGCGATACAATTAGAATTTATAGATGAAATTTTTTTTGTATATACATTTTTATTTTTTGACCATTTCCTATCAATTAATTCATGAATATTCTTTCTCAGAGTCGTGCATCCAATATGCAGTCAATTTAGAAATGCAGACGTCAGTCAAATATCCCTCATTAATTAAATCAACGACGTCTCACCTAACTTTTGGAATCTTCAACCATGGCACATCTTCAAACATTTTGGCTATTTTTTCAGCATTGTGACCTTCTTGGGCAAAATTTAATTCTTGTGGAATATTTTTCTTTGATTCATCGACTAACCATTGAAATTTGAACTCCGGAAAGACCCAACTCATCAGTTTTACTAAATACTCCATTGTTTTCATATCTACTCTAGAGTTGCCTTGTACGTAGGGATGTTGTACTTTTACTGCAACTGTTGTACCATCTTTCAGTACAGCTTTGTGAACTTGCGCAAGGGAGGCAGTACCCAAAGGTTCAGGATAGATGCTTTGAAATACTTCAAAAGGCTGCAATTGGAAAAATGTTCTGGTCTATATGTGAACTTTTGATTCAATAACTTACAAGTTACTAATACACAAATGAATGTAGATTTGAAATTTGCGAGTCAAGATAGATAGAAATATTACATTGGGAAAAATATTGAAATATTAAGGAGTTCCATCAAAAACAGTTTTGATAAGTCAAAATATTCGAATGAAAAATGATTGTATTAAATAGCAACGAATGTATAAAGTAATAAATATTAAATATTGGGGGAATAAAATCAAAACAATTCTCTTACACCCGTAGAGTTTTACTATCTACCTATTGGAATTTATGTTTCAACATATTTTTTTAAATTGTCTCATAGATTTAGAACATTTTATATACTGTGGCAATCTATTACATCAAATCAGAATGTGTCTCGAAAAAATTGACTCGCAGGCCAGAGTAGATTTTTTTAAGATCAAATATAGTGAAACGACAGAAGTGTGAATTTTGAAATGATTTTTAAGTCAGGAATTTTGTTCGACAAAACTGAAAAGCCTCCTTTAATTATGAATACTGGTTCTGCTGTGTCTATCGGATGCAAGCACTGTGGAATTATACAGAATGAAAAAATTTCAATGAAACTTACATCCTTCTTCAAATCTTCCCTAATAACATTATATACTTCTTCTATTTTATTTGTGGGAGCATGGCAGTGCAAAACTTTCATAGTTTCAACATACTCTGTGGGTAATAAATATTCTAGTGCTGCAATATGTTGCCCTACTTTGATATAAACACCTTTATTGGTACAACACAAATTTAATAACTTCTCTGCACTTCTTTTATGGCAAATTGATTTCAGTTCTTTATATTCTTTTGTTTTCTTGTCCAATCGTTTTCCATATAAATCTTTTTGATAAATAATTCCTATTTGTAAAACTGTTGAAGCTGCTCTGCTAAATCTCACAATACCTATAGAATCTAGCTGATATTGGTTAGATCTCAAACTTAGTGCTGTGCCCCCAATAACAGCAGCAGTAAATGTATATTTGAAAATAGGTCGTAATTTCATCTGGAACATTTTGAGTAATTGTAACAAAAATCGCAACAGTTGTACACAATAAGGTCAACAAGCATCTCCAGGAATACAACAATCACTATGTTAATGAAGTAATTCTTATTTTTTAATTATAAACCTCGTTAGATGTTTAAATTTATTATACACTTTAACAAAAATGTTCCCATTTCCCAAGCCCGTACACATGCCACGAAACTATTATTGACATTTTCCGTTAGTTCTATTTGGGACTTCAAAAACCAAAATCCACTCTTATGTCAGTATTTGGTTATGTTTCGAATAGAATTTGACGTCACATGTCACCTTGTCATATGGGAACCAGTTAAGGTAGGTTTACTTAAAAGTGGTAGAAGCTAGAACATATTACAGACTGCAGAATGAGACATGGCTTATGGGAGATGTGCACGTTGCATAAAAACCAAGGGTCTGTTTTTATCTAGTTTACTTTTGAACTCCATGACTACCTTAATACTATTCTGTTTCATATAATATAGTTTATCACTTCAGCATAGGTGGAATAGAATGCAATCAAGGGTTCTAAGCGGTACGAATTTCGTTAGCAATTAAGAGGCGGGGTACTTATGACCGGCCAAGGTTTATTTTGCTTACTCTCGGCCGAATCTAAGGAGGGGTGCGGAGAAGCACGCGCCCCGGGCGCCAGTTTTTGGGGGAAGCCCATCATCAAAATTAATAAAGGCTTTGTAACCAAGCACATACATTTTGATGTCAAAATCAATTATTCAATGAACAAATATTTATTTGAGAAGAACAAAGAAGTGTAAAGTTTTAGTGAGAATTCCCAAATAGCTACATTTGTGCATAGCCACATCTACTTAAATATAGTGAGAAACACTTAAACAGGACGCCAAGATCAAACCCTACCCCCCCTAATAATAATCCTAGGTCCGGCCCTATATATATTGTTCCACCGTATAGAAGTAACACCTTCTAAACATCTATTCGGTGACTACCTTCTATGGGATCTTTCAGCAGTTTGATTTGAAAAACAAATTGAACTCTATATAGTGATTATCCAACTTTTCTCCAAAGTGTTTTGAGTGCTTTTTATTTCGTTATGATCAATGACATGGTAAATTTATGACTTACGAAAATTTAATTAAATTTGAAAATATCAGTTCATTCAACAATTTATATCCTCAAAATGAACATTTTTACTTTCAAACACTTTTCTGTTTAAGAAAATAATTTTAATCGATTAACAATCTTGTGTAACATAGCTGTCTCTAGACAATAATTCCAACTATCGCTTTTTCGCTTTGCAGATGGTGGTGCTACTACTGAATGATAGACGAATCCTTTCATAATTTTCCCACCGTTTGTACATCGCAATGGCGTATAGAATAATAAACAAAAATTTTTAAGTCTTTGGAGATTTAAATTAACTTTGCGATATCCATGGTAACTGACTGAAAGAAGTATTAACGATGCATATTAAGCAGGCAAGTAACTTTTTCTCGTATGTGTCAAGACAGTTTTGAAGTTGGAGCTTTTTCAGGTTATCATACAAGGTTTCAAAAGCTACAGAGACCAAACTGTAGTAGAACCATTCGATAAAAGACACAACGTAGTCGTGGGTCGTAACGGCTCAGGAAAGAGTAACTTTTTTTATGGTAAAGATTTTTATCTTCACAACATCTAACTGGATAACTGATTTTTGAATTGCAGCCATTCAGTTTGTACTTAGTGATGAATACTCTCACCTTCGACCAGAACAGAGACAAGCTTTGCTACACGAAGGCACAGGGCCGCGGGTTGTTTCAGCTTATGTTGAAATTATTTTTGACAATAGCGATTCCAGAGTTCCTGTAAGTGTTGGGTTAGAATTTGATTTTATCAATTTCATCCTATCGAATTTCAGATTGAACATGAAGAAATATATTTGAGAAGAGTAATTGGAGCTAAAAAGGATCAATACTTTTTGAACAAAAAAGTTGTGCCACGGAGTGAGGTCATGAATTTGTTGGAGTCTGCTGGATTCTCCAACTCAAATCCATACTACATTGTAAAGCAAGGAAAGGTACAACAGAACCTTTTTCTCATGGATATAATAGAATAAAATAGAGTAGAATGAAATTTTTAATTTATTAAAAGCCCTCTTACATTAGAGGGGGTTTATGTAAGTTTATGTCGAACTTCACAAAATTTGAGTCTCGAGAATACATATCTTTCATTCATCACTTCTGAAAACTTACAACTCACGAACATAGATTTCATGAGTTACTATATATAAGAAAATATCTATGCTCGTGCATGAATGTTTCACCTCAAAAATAAATGATAGCACTGCTTGTGATTTGCAGTGCTATCATATCGTCACAAACGAATCAATTTTCAGTTTAGTTTGATCTTCCTTTTGAAGTTGATCACTCGGTGATCGAAACACGTGTCTAGGTGTTGAAATAACAGTTTGGTGTTGGGAAAAAACTCCAGTAATATTCATTACTACACCAAAGGTTCCAAACAGTGCATCATAAGATCATGAGGAATTGTTGAATGGTTCGTAGGACTATTTATTTTTGTGTGGCTATTATTTTGTATATATTTTTATTTGATAATTGTATCTCAAAATATCTATTGTATTATTTTTTAAATCGGGTGAAAGGTTCAATGAAATGAATGAATAAATTCAAACTGTACATGCTGAGGTTGATAGCCTTCTGAAAAGATATTCCAAATCTTGATCTACTTTCAACCTTTGGGTAATAGAATTGTATCAGCTAACAAGATTCACTGAGTTTTGTTGACAAATAGAGAGAGATTGCTGAAAACCAATCAATAATTCTCTTTTACATTTTCTTTTGATCGACCTTATCCTTGGGTCAGAGATAATGAGACATATATTGTCTGCATAGATTGTAAAAGTTGCCAGTATTTTTAGTTTTCCTCTGTTGTTCATGTAATTGAGTAATCGAGTCGCCTGATTCATTTTTGCATACTTTTGAAATCTTCCTTTTATTGCAATATATTGCTGTCTACCACACGAATATAATTTTATTAATTCAGGAGTTGTAATGCCCTGCCGAGTTCACAAAATATTCCAACAGGATATTCACATGCTTCAAAAAATTCATCTATTTCATGGAAGTAGGCACAGAGTGCTGTAGTAGTAGACTTATTACTCAGAAACTCATGAAAGCTACTTGTAGATAGATAGATTTATTGATCTCTTCGAATCATTTACATGACATGAGATAAGTCTAATAACCGTGTTCGGTTGCGAATCAGGATAAAATTACAATACATCTTAATAAAAAACGAAAAATACACCTAAAAATACTAACAATACAATAATACAATACATATTTTTTAAAAGTTCGTAATTTTTTTTCATGAGAGTTGATGTAAGTTGGTAAGTTGTAGTATCTAATACCTAGAAAAGCTATAAGTTGTTTTTCTTATTATTAATATGTTTAGATCAACCAAATGGCAACTGCACCAGATGCACATCGTCTCAAATTACTCCGAGAAGTAGCCGGAACGAGAGTATATGATGAAAGACGTGACGAGTCTATGAGCATTCTCAGAGAAACTGAAGTTAAGGTAGGAAAAATCGAGGAGTTTCTACGTACCATCGAAGAACGTCTCAGCACTCTGGAAGAGGAAAAGGAGGAACTGAAGCAGTACCAACACTTTGACAAGATTCGCAGGGCTCTAGAATATATTATTCACGAAGTAGAACTAAATGAAAACAAAAAAAAACTTGCCGAAGTAAGTGGTCTGTCGTCTTAACAAATCTTGGCTTTTACTAAGAGTATTTTTCAGTTGGAAAAACAAAGGAATGAATCTGGAAAGGAACAGAAAAACTTGGCAGATAACCTCAAAAAAGCCCAAGAAAATATTAAAACCTTGAATAAGAAGACTAAAGACACCAAGAAGGAGCTAGCTGCTTTGAAAGAAGAGCGGGACATTCTTACAAACGATAATCAGCACTTGATAAAGGAGAAAGCCAAATTGGATTTGACTATCAAAGACTTGTCAGAAGAAGTACAGGGTGACAGTAAATCAAAAGAGAGAGCTGAAAATGAACTGGCTCGATTAACACAATCAATAAAAGAAAAAGAAGGTGAATTGGAGAAGGTAAATATACAACAAAGATCTTCACCATCTGCAAGGGCTGGATATAATAATAACGACAATTTTATCTTCATTATTTTCAAAAACAAAATATTTTAACAATTTTTTAGTAAATATATAAATGTAAATATATAGAAGACGAGAAGTATGAGAAGATTTCAACAGCATTAGATATAGAGAACTAATCTATTCCCTCATTTATAATAAAGGAACATAGTTTGAGTATTTAAATTAGGTAGTAGTATAATATTTTGGTAGTCTTACGACTAATTTGATTTCACAAAAATTTTAAAATTAGCCAGGAGTGGTACTGCGGGTCTGAGTACTGATAATAAAAGCCTAACGCAGTTAAGCTGCCATAATTGAAATTGAAAGAGCACTCCTTTCACCATCTTGATTTCAATTCAAGAGCCTTCGGCATACAGCTTTCCAGCCTATTGGGCATCGCCAGTGCTATGAAGGCAGTCTTTGACTGAAGACAAATTGTGGAAAATCAGGGAGAGTACTTCATCATAATTATTGCTTATAGACAAGGGCTCATCTTCTTTTCTGAAAAGTATTATGCCGCAAATAAAAGCTTAACACAGTTAAGCTGCCATAATTGAAATTGAAAGAGCACTCCTTTCACCATCTAGAATTTGATTTCAATTCATGAGCCTTTGGCATACAGCTTTCCAGCCTATTGGGCATTGCCAGTGCTATGAAGGCAGTTTTCGATTGAAGACAAATTGTGGAAAATCAGGGAGAGTACTTCATCATAATTATTGCTTATAGACAGGGGCTCATCTTCTTTTCTGAAAAGTATTATGCCGCCTGTAAGCTATCTAGATCTGTATATATAAAGGTAGATCAGTCCTCATTTCCATAATATAATTTTCCTAATTACTATTCGGCAATATTTAAATCCTTGGTTTAATCTTGTCCAACCGTGCTAGGAATTGCACGTTAAAAGGTAAGACCTCGTAAGTCCTTAGCTCAGTACGAGTTTCGACTTCTGATGGTTGTAAAATTTTAAATTTGTTTATATAATTGTTATTTGTTCATGCATAGCCTTTTATAATAATTTTGAAATCGCTGGAGAAATACTGATAGGTTTGAAATCAGAAAAGCCAATAGGATTGTGGAATTTTTACAAAGATCATAAAATGCCAGTTTTAGGCAACAGCGAAGTTTGTGATCACTGAAGTAAATTTTTTTTCAATGATTTGTGTTTAATATTGAGTCATAACTTATATTTCCATAAAAACAAATTCTGTAATTTACATTTTATAGGTTAGGCCACAATACGAAGCAATGAAAAAACGTGAAGAGGAATGTACCAGAGAGTTAGCTCTCAAAGAGCAGAAACGAAAGGAACTCTACGCAAAACAAGGACGGGGAAGTCAGTTCACTTCCAAAGACGATCGTGACAAGTGGATTCAGCAAGAGTTGAAATCCTTGAATAAACAATTGAAGGATAAAAAGGAACATCGAGACAAATTAGAAGCTGATTTGAAAAGAGATGCAGCTAAGACTATTGAATTGACTAAAAAAATTGAGGAACAGTCTCAAGAATTGGAGAGACAGAAGAATTTTATTGACGAACACAACAAACAGTGTTATGATTTGAAAAAGAACAAAGATCAGTTTCAGGCTACAAGAAAGTGAGTTGATTCATGATTGAAGCTAGGGTCTGAGAAAGATATGCATACAGTTTGTACCATTTGCATTTTTTTATTGAGTCAGTCAATCAGCAAATTTTCACATAGACTTTTGTCAATAGAAAATAGAATACAGCGATCAATTTCAGTTTTGTTGGACACAATCCAATGCTTTGAGGGCAGTGTCAGTTGGTTACACTTTTTCAATCTATTATATCTAAAATTTCAATTTTATTCATACTGTCAGTTGGTAATGGCAATTTCAGATTTTGTGAAGACTGAATATTATAGACATATTAGCTTTCTCAATTATTATGAATTGAACAGTCAGTTTCTGAGACAAAATTCAAGCAAACTGCAAATATTTCATTGCTTTCGAGGATTGTTTGGTGAGTTTGCTTTGCAGAAAACTTTGACGTTTTTTGTAAAAGTGGTACAACTTGGGACTCAATGGCTGCATACATCCCACTTCTTTGGCATTTTTTTTTTCGTAGCAATAGAATCCTTTTGATAGTTTTTTACATAGCTGTTCGTAACACATCCAATATTCAACTTCTACCTAATTCCAAATTTGTTTCGACTGTTAACACAAATTTATTCCTAAGCGTCCCTCCAGAAGAGTCACTTATAGATGAAAGACTACTTAAAAATTACACAAAACTCTTTATTTCATTCAGATATCCTCACTCTACGGTCCACATATATAAAATATTTATAACAACACCTAACTTTCAAAAAATTGATTTCTTGGTACAGATATGTACGACATTTTAGCGTGTTTCACAGGTACACATCGACAATTACATTAATTCCTCCAATACATCAATTCCATTCACCAAAACATGAAACTCACAACATAAATTTTTATACCGGACAACCACAAAAATTAACAACAAACAACTCTCACAACAAAGATGATACAAACATTTTCAAAACACTGACATATATAGGTAGACATATAAAAAATCCAACATCGGCAAGGACAACAAATCGGTTGTCTACAGGCTAAAATGTGTTTCTTGCCCAAAAGTTTATATTGGAGAAACACCTAGAAATTTCAAAACCAGAATCTCTGAACACAAAATAAGTTTTGAATTAAAGAAAGCCAATTCAACCTATTCATGTCATCTGTTAAAAAACACTCACGATTCGACATAAACTATGACTCACTACATATAAAAAAAGGACAAAAATGAAACCTGCTGGAATCCTTGAAACTTATTAAATGTGAACAATTGACTTTTCTATTGAACGACCAACAAGAAGTGTATCTCTCACCACTCTTGAATTTACTTTTATGAAAAATTTCAGTGTATTCATAAAAAATAATAAATAAATAGACATTATTGTTTTCAGTGAGCTGTGGCGTAAAGAAAACAATGTACAGCAAAATCTCTCTTCCTTAAAAGAAGAACTCGCCAAAGCTGACCAGCAACTTAGATCGATGGCTGGAAAACCCATCCTGAACGGTCGTGATAGTGTCGCTAAAGTTTTGAAAACTTTCATTGATCGAGGTGGACGAGAAGCTGAGATTGCCAGGCATTATCACGGTCCCGTTATTGAGAACTTCGACTGCGAAAAAAGTATTTATACAGCTGTGGAAGTTACAGCTGGGAACAGACTTTTTCACCATGTTGTGGATACTGATATAATTGGTACCCAGATTTTAAAGGAGATGAACAGACAGAAATTGCCGGGGGAGGTTAATTTTATGCCTTTGAATAGGCTCAATGTTAGGGAACAAGATTATCCTGAAGACTCGGTAAGTTTGAGAAATCTTTTGATAACTTGAGTAAAAAAAAATCAGAGTTATAAACATGATATTGATTGATAATATGTTCATTGTTTAAGAATAAATATCAATATAAACATGAAGTACAAGATGTGAAGTATAAGTTTATAAAATATAAATGATTAAAAGAAAATATGAACTATATATACATACATATGCAAAGGTAGTTACATAACAAGAACTAGGACAAAGAATAAAAATGTGTTTCACACACAGTACAATCGCAGTTTCATCACATTCTAAATTACAGAGCATCCTCAAAATATTCTTGTAGGTCATAATAGGCTTTATCACTTAATAGTTTTGTACATTTCTTTCTGAATATGATTAAAGGAGTCTCTTTGATTTCATTGGGAAGTTTATTGTATATCCTGATTCCATTATATATCAACAAGTTTTTAACCAAACAGGTTTTTGGAATTGGTAAACTCAGTTCATTTTACCGCCTTGTGTGGTATGTGGCTGTAGATTCATAGTTCTCCTTATTTTTATGTATAATTGACACGGTTTCCAATATAAATATTGAAATAACCGTAAGGATTCTATGTTCTCGAAAAAGGGGTTTACATGAATCCCGCTATTTCACTTCACATAAGTACCTGATAACCCTTTTTTGCAAGACAAAAACCGACTGCATAAGTTGTTTACTGCAAACACCCCAAAAGGGTATACCATACCTTAGATGAGAGTCTATTAAGGCATAGTACGTTACTTTCACTGCAGCAAACCTCAATTCCTATGAGATGTTTCTCAGTGCGTAACATCCTGATGCCAATTTTTTGTTCATGTGTGCAATATGACATAGTTCTCCTTATTTTTATGTATAATTGACACGGTTTCCAATATAAATATTGAAATAACCGTAAGGATTCTATGTTCTCGAAAAAGGGGTTTACATGAATCCCGCCATTTCACTTCACATAAGTACCTGATAACCCTTTTTTGCAAGACAAAAATCGACTGCATAAGTTGTTTACTGCAAACACCCCAAAAGGGTATACCATACCTTAGATGAGAGTCTATTAAGGCATAGTACGCTACTTTCACTGCAGCAAACCTCAATTCCTATGAGATGTTTCTCAGTGTGTAACATCCTGATGCCAATTTTTTGTTGATGTGTGCAATATGCTGAGAGAATTTTAAATTTTCATCTAAATGAATTCCCAAAAAATTCAAAGTGGAGTTACTTTTTATTGTGTTATTGTCTAGGGGGATATCAGATATATTACACTTGAATGCTAATATATTTGTTTTGCTGGTATTCAATGTTAGACGATTCGAGTTAAACCAATTCTTCACTTTTTTCATGTCTTGGCACATTTTGTTACGCAATCTGATTTCGTCCTTGTCATGCCACACTAACGTAGTGTCGTCAGCAAATAAGGTAAAGCTTCCTGTAATCGATATGTTGGTCAAATCATTAATGTATAACAGAAACAGTATAGGACCTAACACAGAGCCTTGAGGTATTCCACAATTTATCTTTCCAACGTCCAAGTAAGATGACGTTCTTACAAATTGATTTCTGTCAGAAAGGTATGAATTAATCCAAATATGACTGTTGTCCCTAAAACCATATCTTATGAGTTTCCGAAGCAATATGCTGTATAAGTAATTGGATGAGTGTTTACTCACTGATTAACTTATCATTGTAGTCAGAATTGGGTTGGAGTGTTGCTTCATCCATGGGCTTTCAACCAGTTGATTTCATATCTTATCTGTCTGTCTGTTAAAATCAACTGCTGGTACATTGGTGAACATCGATTGACATCTAACCGTTCATAAATTCATCGGTTACTCTATTGAGTTGCCTACATGTTTGTATATCTACCGATGAAACCAATCAGTATACATCAAAACTTTTGAATAATTTGTGCTTAGGGTTGCGATAGTTTACAGCTACAGACATATATCAACCTAATTCAACAATATGTTATTTGTCATTTCCATAATATTATGGACAATTAGGATATGAAATTATTCAGTAAACGTTCCAAAGTAGAAGTGATACATGAAAAATATTCTCAGAGAAAATAACGACAGTAGTAGGTGTCCCTCTGGGTAGTGTCATGAACCTTTTGTTATTTATATTTTACATATATGATTTTGCCTATGATATTGTCAATAATGAAAATATCAATGTGAATTTTGTAGACAACACAAACCTTTTAACAGTAGGTTGGTCATTAAACAATCTTTTAGACATCACCAATAAAACGGTGGAAAAGGCTTAGGAATGGTTTACCATGAACAAACTAATACTAAACAAAGATGAAACAAATTATGTTTACTTTCAAACTAAAATAAAAAACAACATCATACCTGAGACCCTTCAAGAACAAACACAGGTAATAGCAGAACATAAGAAATTTCTCGGTATATACATATAATGGCATATAATGACAGAGAATCGGCGGCGGCCATGCTTTGTGACCTAACCAAAGCCTTCGATTGTGTAGACCACATGCTGCTTCTTCGCAAGCTGGAAGTTTACGGGTTTAGAGGATCGGCATTACTTTGGTTTGAGACGTACCTTTCTCATTGGCGGCAGAATGTTCTATTAGATGGAATTTCATCAGAGGAACGTTTCATTGACAGTGGGGTTCCACAAGGTTCCGTTTTGGGACCGGTGTTGTTTCTCATTTATGTCAATGACTTGGTCCATGTTAACATAAGTGGTAAATTCACATGTTTCGCTGACGACACCACTATCCTCTGGCATAGCAATACAGCCTCCAATTTACTTGATCAAATCATCGTCGACATAAGAACGGTTAAAGAGTGGTGTGATTCCAATCTCTTATCATTGAACATCGATAAAACAAAGGTGATCACGTTTAGATGTAACATAGGGGAAGTACACTTGGAAAATGTAAAAATTGAAAATTTGGAGAAAAACAAATTTTTAGGGCTNTATTTTAGTGTCTTTATTTATTTCAGGATGCAATTCCAATGGTATCAAAACTGCAATATGATGCAAAATACAACAAAGCCATGCGTTATTTATTCGGCAAAACTCTGATCTGCCGTAACATGGAAGTAGCTACCAAACTGGCTCGAAATACAGGTTTGGACTGTGTAACCTTGGACGGTGACCAAGTCTCCTCTAAAGGATCCCTAACCGGAGGTTACTTCAATGCATCCAGGAGCAGACTTGAAATGCAGAAAACTCGCAGTGAAACTCAGCTTCAAATAGCACAGTGCGAGCAAGAGTTGATGTCACTCAGGTCGGAATTATCGAAAACTGAGTCGTCCATCAATACCATAGTTTCTGAAATGCAAAAGACTGAGACCAAGAACAGCAAAGCGAAAGCTATCTACGATAAGGTGAAAGGGGAACTTCGACTTATGCGAGAGGAGTTGTCTAACATCGAGCGTTTCCGAGGGCCTAAAGAGCGTTCATTGACTCAATGCAAATCAAGTTTGGAGGCGATGCAAACGACAAAAGAAGGTTTGGAGTCGGAGTTGCACCAAGAACTTCTTGCACAACTATCAGTCCACGATCAATCTCAAGTGGATTCTCTCAACGATGACATCCAGCGCCTGCAGAGAGAGAATAAGGAGGCTTTCAGCACTCGAATGAAGTTAGAAGCGGAGAAAAATAAGTTGGAGAACTTGTTGACGAATAACTTGATTCGACGCCGAGACGAAGTTTTGCATGCCTTGCAGGAGATTTCTTTGGAGGATAGGAAGAGGCATTTGGTTAATAGCAAAGCGGAATTGGAGGAGATTGATAAGAAGATTGAGAAAGTTAATAAAGACTTGAATGCGATGGAGAACAAGGTTAAAGATATGACGAAAAGGGTGAGTTGCTGGTTTTGCTACTGAGTTTTAGTAAGAAAACTTAATTTCATCATCAGTGCATTCAGTATTAAGATTTATCAAACTAGTCAGCAACAAATATTCTGAAAGTAAACAACTACAATCACACATTCAACATTAACTAAACTACAGATAAAAATTTAAAATAATGTTTTTATTTATTTATTTATTTATCTACGGGTAACCCCAATTTGTATACACGAATTCAATACATTTTAGGAAGTAAACACTAATACTAATCTAACTTTAATTATACTAATAACCTAAAAATAGAAATATTTGAATATTTGAGCACTTATTCCTGTGATTTACAGTTGAATATTTTTCAATCTATTTCTAAGAGAACATTCAGGAATATAAAATAAGTCAAGATCAACCTTATTGCCATTAGAAACTATTCTAGAAAGTGGAGAATTTTTACCATAATTACACCTGTGGAAGTCGATTGCAAACANATTTTTCCGTTTATTGTTCACATAGTTCCAGAAGTGTTTTATATTTGATGGTATGTTATTTTCCACTCTTTTAATATAGTTCTCATTACTAATTCTACTTGCTAGTTTGCACCGAGCTCTTAGATCAGAAAAAATTAAGTAGTCATCCCAATTATTACTTTCTTTGTAAGCCTTATGGGCTTTTTTCTTTTCAATAATTAATTTTTTCAGATCTTTGTCGAACCAGCGGGGAAATTTTGGCTTAGTATGTCTAACATATGGAACAAAGTTTTGGATACTTGAGTAAAGGATATTATAATGTTGTTGATAAATCACAATGAGAACATAGATTAATAAAGTGGATGTTTAAAAAGTTTACTCATTAGAATTTATAGGCTTGAAATCTAGAAACTCGTATTTTGTTGATGATGCAGGTGCTTTGTTTAATCACCCCAACTTCATTAAGTGTTTGCTGATGAATTCAAATGTTGAATTTCAATTCCTCATATGAGGAATTTGTAAAGATTTATTTACAGTTTTGGCAATGAACATTCTATTCTGAATGATTTTCTTTATATCAACTGTCCTTAGTGAATTTTGTCTTCATCTAGCTGAAAAATGAACAAACTGAGTTGGAGAACTGGAAGAAGAAGGAGAGAGATGCACAAGATAGGATAGATGAGGATGCTAAACATCTTGAGAAGTTTGCTACAAAGCAGAACCTTTTGGAACAGAAGATTGCCGAATCTGTGGAAAAAATTAACCAACTGGGTGCTCTTCCTGCTCAAGATCTGTATTCCCATTATATCAAAATGTCTTCCAAATCCGTGAGTAACTTTTGTTCTTGGTAAATTTGAAACTCTCTCATCACAATTCATAAAGTTGACATATTGTTATTGCTTTTTTCAACGAATTATTTTTCTGAATATATCTTTTCTAATATAAAAACTATTTTCTATATATCATTGGATTAGGAATCAATGGACGCTCATTAATTTTAATCATGTATACATAAATATTTACATATATTTATTTTTATTGTCGATTACATCATAAGCAGTACTTATTGTACCTGCAATCCTTATTACTTCTATTCTATATCAGCATATGATTTATTTCAATTTAGTTTTGTACACATTCTACATAATCAATTTGAATGTAACTTATGTGTAATTGATGTCTCTTTTAGCTTTTTAGAGAATTAGAAAAGGCTAATAACCAATTGAAAAAGTTCAGTCATGTGAACAAAAAGGCGCTTGACCAGTTCATGAGTTTTTCAGACCAAAAAGAGAAACTGCAAAAGAGGAAGGAGGAATTGGATAGAGGGTAAGTTCATTAGTCATTGGCATCACTTTAGGCTTTGCCAAACAAACATTGAACACCTGGATGGCAAGAAGATTTATGGACTTCTGGAAGTTCTGGCGTTTATTCACCCTTCGAAACTTGATACCAAACAGTTGTTGGACTACAGTAGGGATGAACTACGATATCTAACAGACCTTCTTACAGGTTACTGTCATTTGAATCATCATATGCAGAGACTCGGACTGTCGGAAGACAGTGTGTGTCGCCTCTGTTTGGAAAATGATGAAACAGCAGAGCATATACTTTGTGCCTGCTCCGCTGGAGACCAAATAAGGTTTTTAGAGTTTGGCAGAGTCGTACTATTACCATCTGACCTGAAAAACCACTCACCATACAAACTAATCAGCTTCGTTAAGAAGCTGGGTTTATTTGGTCGAGTGTGAATAAGTGTGATCCACAATAAATTTTTGCAGGTTGCGGTGGAGGGTCGAATAGACCCACTCACTTTATACCTAACCTAAAGTAACCTAAGTTCATTAGTTGAAATATATTTAATTTTCTGAAGAAGGTTATTCTTATTGACGAAACATGAATTTATTTTGAATTAGTTATTTATGTTTGAAATTAGTAGACAATATTTGTTGGTGAATGTTACAAGATTGGTCTTGTATTGTATGGTAAACAGATCTAAAATCTATGAAAGAACAAATGAAATGAAAATTAATGGACAAAAGCTTCCCGAGTAATACCTTCAATTGTATCATAAAATTTGATAAATAAAAATAAAAGCAATTGAGAAATGTGTTCAGAAATAACAATTATTCATTTTAGTAGGATAAGGATTCTTTCACCAGTAAGACATTTTCCACAAATATAATTTTCTGTGAAGAATACTTTATTTTATATCAACAACTGATGTTCCTATTTCAGAAGCGATATCTGATGACTCATTTGGAAATGAGAACTATACATTACAGTTCTTTTTCTGATGATGCCAACTTGGTTGGTGATATGTACAGGGTCACTAAGAAAATTTTTAAGTTTTCATAAAAAGGAAAGCGGGGAAAATTGAGGCGTTCAACACATAGTGTCGTTTAAAAATTTTTATTCGAGTGATTTCATCAAATAATTTTTAAAATTTCGAGCTCAAAGAAATGAGAAGTTGTGATGATACCTGTAGGGTCACTTGGTTTTCGGATTTTTTTACTTATTTTAATTCTCTTTAATGAGGACTTTCTGATATATCAATGAAAATATTATTGTTTGTGCAAGTATTCTTAGAAATAATACACAAAATATGTTTGGTAGGAAAAACGTAAACGTTGTTGACCCATAAAAATTTGGGTATTTTTTATCTTTATTGTGGCCGCCCTTCTCCTATGGAGGCCTCGGGGCAGTAGCCCAGCTTGCCCTCCCCTGAATCCGGCCCTGGATATGTGCATTGAGATGATTATTTCTGAAGTGAAGTGTGAAATTTGTTCTACACCATAAGTTCCACTTCTTTTCATTTGATATGTCTTTTTTACTTATTTACCCTGAAATAATAAAAATACTAAAAATGACCAAGTTATGTTGATAAAATCTTCTGTAATTCATACTCACCTTTACCTTTACAGAGATGAGAAAATCAAGGAACTAATACAAATGTTGGAACAAAGGAAAATGGAGGCCATCCAGTTCACTTTCAAACAGATCTCCAAATTCTTTACAGAAGTCTTCAAGAAGTTGGTTCCTGCAGGTCGGGCCAAACTGGTCTTGAAGACCGTTGACCATGAAGAAGGCCACGAGATTGGCCCAGACGATAGAAACGCAGACAACTTCACCGGAATTGGCATAAAAATATCTTTCACAGAGGCTGACCATGAGATGAAAGAAATGAACCAGTTGTCTGGAGGTCAGAAATCGTTGGTAGCCCTTGCTCTGATTTTCGCTATTCAGAAATGCGATCCAGCACCTTTCTACTTGTTTGATGAAATTGATCAAGCTTTGGATCCGTCTTATAGAAGATCGGTAGCGAATATGATTCACGAGTTGTCTGGCGAAGCACAATTCATCACGACAACTTTCAGGCCGGAGTTGCTGGAACACGCTAATAAATTTTATGGTGTTAAATTCAGGAATAAGGTGAGCCACGTTGAATGCGTGAGCAGGGAAGTTGCGAGAGATTTCGTCGAAGATGATCAGACACATTCGTAAAGTCCTTTTGTTTTTTAAAATAATTCATGTTTGTAAGTTATAAGTTTAGCTGTCATATTCTAGTTCGTTTGTAATGAAATTTGTGAACGTTATTTGGTAGATGTAAGGTTTCAAAGTGTTTATTTAATTTTATAAATAAAATATTTTCTATTTTGTATTAGCTTTTTTGTCCCTGTCATCAAAATCAAAGTATCCTGGGCTGGTTTCACTCAGTCGCTCTGCAATGAAAGCTGCATAGAAAAACAGAAAGAGATTTTCGCAATAAAAACCATTTAATCAAATCGTAAGGCACACATTAAAACGTAAGGTTTAGACCTACATTTAAATAAAACTCTATTCCTACAGGGCAAAATACATCCTAAATAGTTCAAAATTATTAAATTATAAAAATATGAGAAATACTACAAAACTAGCAAAAATGATTATCAGTAAAATTTCAAACATTGAAAAACATTGAAAATTGGAGGAAACTAGGAAAGCATAGAAAGGCCACACTAGATGTTTTTTTTAATTTTTCTGCATGTTAATTCGGAATTACATTCTTTCAAAACGTACATTTGAAGTACATACCGAATAGAAAGATGTGTTTTTTGTATGATTCAATGTTTACATGAAAGTAGTTGTTTCGAGGTGGCTTTTTTTCCAGTTTGTGTCTGAATTGCTTTCTTCCTTCCTTTGAAAGATTCCCACATTTTTTGTATAAAGATGGAGAAATAGAAAGCCAAAACCTCTCTTTTCCAATAAATAAGGAATCTATATTTTTCCGATTTTCAACTCGTAAATTCCGATTTAAACTCAACCTAATACAAGTGTCGGGGAGGTTAAATATCTGGGAGTAATCCTAGATTCCAAACTGACCTGGAATCAACACTTGGACAGGATAAAGAGGAAAGTGGAGGTAGCACTGACGCTCGCCAGACGCACCTATGGAAAAACATGGGGGCTAAAATCAGACAAGGTATATTGGCTATACACGATGGTGATTAAATCCATGATAACATACGCATCTCTGGTCTGGTGGCCAAAGATGAAGCAGGCGACCGCCATCAACAAACTAGGCAAGGTGCAAAGACCTGCATGTTTGGGAATGACGGGAGCAATGAGAACTACCCCAACAGCTGCATTGGAGACACTCCTGAATCTACCTCCTTTACACTTTGTGATAATGGGGGAGGCCTGGATGGGCCAATTCAGACTGGAAAACTCACCGAACTACAAAAGATCGGACCGAACAGAAATTTCGGAACAAGTGGAGGAGCACATATTGAATATGTGCACGGACCACATGACACCGAAGTACACCTTTAATACAAACTTCACGGCCAAAATTATAAGCCGTGAAGAGTGGAAGACCATTAGTCATCCCGAAAACATGTTTGGAAAAAACACCTGGTATACAGATGGATCGAAGACCAAACATGGAACTATACACATCCGTCTTTCAGGCGGAAGTGTATGCTATCTTGCAGTGTGCAAGGCTAATTAAATTCAGACCTCAAAGAAATGAGCGGATCAATATTTTTACAGACAGCAAGAGCGCACTAGGGGCTCTGACAAACCTGAAGGTGACATCAAAACTGGTCTGGGAATGCCATGAAGAACTGAATGAACTTGCAAACAGGAACAAATTAACTTTGTACTGGGTGCCAGGGCATTCAGGAATCACAGGTAATGATAAAGCTGATGAATGCGCTAGACGCGGATCATCAACTTCATATATAGGTCCTGAACCAGCTCTGGGGGTACCAAAATCATTGGTAAGAAACCAGATTAGGACATGGACCAATAAGAAGCACACAGAGTACTGGACAAAAGTACCTGGCAACAAACACAGTAGAACCTTCATTAGGGAACTGTCCGAGAAAAGAACCGAAGAACTACTTCAATATAGTAGGGATCGGCTCAGAATAATTACAGGGTTACTAACCGGTCATTGTCCGCTTAGAGGACACCTGAATAAAATGGGGCTGTACAACGGAGACCTCAGCTGCAGATTATGCAACGAAGGGATAGAAACAGCTGTACACATCTTATGCGAGTGTGATGCACTGAATCACAAGAGGCAGGCAATATATGGAAGTGAGAAATTACATCCAGAAGAATATGATGAATATCCAACACGGAACCTGTACAAACTAGTACAGGGAACGAGACTGATAGAATGGGTGTCATGAGAAGATGGGAGAATAAACGCAATAAGCCCAAGAACCAAAACTTTATTTTCGGCGAATAAATCATGAGCGGGAAATAGTCCATTACTGATATGTACACAAATTTCTCCGCGTGTTGGATAACATTTGTTAAGGCCTCGATGTTATGCTCCTCGTAGCAATGATGAAGTCAGATCATGAACATGGTCACATTTTACATTCCGTTTTAATGAAAGGAATCACAGACTACTTGTTGATATGCTTGTAAAAATTATTTTTAGTGTCATTGTCAATCTCAACGTTTTCTTGATGTAAGTAATTCTGGACTGATGCCATTTGAATACCAATGGAAATCACTAATGATAGCCTAAATAAATTACTGCTGAAAATATGTGGCAACCCTGTACTAGAGAACTGTACTGTGTGAATCACAGGGTCTTCAGGTGATTCATAGATAATTTATTTTTCAAATGACATTTGTAATCTCATTTTGGGTGGGTTTGAACTTCATTCACATATTGTCAATAAATGAAAGATTTTATCATTTCTAAAGTTTTAAAATGAGCATTCAACAGAAATATTTTAAGTTTTCGAAAATTTCCAAAATGTTTTGTCATTATGTATCATATTTTGAGTTTCAACTTCTGGACACTTTGGAATGCTAAGATGGTTGTGTAGAGGCTTGCAAGAATTTGGGTGGTTTATCCTTCAAAATACTGCAGATAAGCTATCGAGGACAAGCGGTTTTATTTGAAACCAGGGTTTCAATTTGGAAACTCTTCATGTAAGTAAAATTTTCTATCAACATGTTTATTTACTTCTTGATATATTTCATTTTCCATAGGAAAAAAATGAGGATGTTGAAGAAGTTTGGGAACTAGTTTCAGAAACATCTTGTGTTCCTCTTTCTTTACATTAGGCATGGTTCATATGACAATTGTGTTCGAAAAAAACAACTTAGCCATTTTCAACCTTTTATACATACAAAAAGATTTGTGTACAATGTTCTCCATTACAATATTTCTATTTTTCACATTGTGGAAGGTAAAAATACTCAAAGAAGGTTGATAAAAACTATAGTTATCGCTTCAAAAGTTGGTGTATTATTTTTTGTTGTCAAATATTTCCCAAAATTCAATAATATCATATGTTAATCGCAGGTTAATGAATTGTATCAACTGAATTTTATGCAAACAAAGTAATGTAATAGATGAACTTTGTAATTTTTCCTTCATAAGTAATCTAATTATAGGTGACGGGAAACCCACAAATGTTGAAAATATCTCGCCAAATAACTATCAAAGGATGTATACCACACTTGAGCTTTTCATAAGCGTCTGTAGATAGCAGACATATGTATACATTACCCTTTTGCACTTGGCACAATAGACATCAGCATATTATAGTGAACAACAAATGATTCAAGTTTTAGTTGTATTTTTTTGACTAGGTGAGGTAAAATTCTGCTCAAAATAAAGGATTTTTTTCAGTTGTGGCTAGTTGGCTAAGTTAGATTTTGTTTCGATAATTATTTCACTATTAATAAATTTGCAATGAATGGAAAGTGCTGATGTCTCCTGTGAAATAATGCAACAGAGTAAGTCAAACATGCAGGTGTTTGTTGTCTACGGACGCTAGTCAACTTTCTAAGTCTTTCGGGAGTTCACTCCAAATATTAAAATATAACTATGATACATCTTCCAATTCTGTAAAGTTCAATGGGTGAGCATAAATGGAGTTCCAATCCCTCTCGAAAACTCCCTGTAACTGGCTTCGTATAGTGGTGTGACTGGAGTTTCTATCAAAGATAGGATCTCTCAGTACGAAAGAGACCCCAGCCGTGTCTGTGAAGTAGTCTCCAGACCAGTTGGAGGTGCCGATGAAAACAGTGTTGTCTGTCACCATGTACTTATTGTGGTTTACCCTTGCAAAAGGAATTTTTTGTTGTTCTTTGTCGGCAGGTACTATGAATCGACGCTGAAAATATAACAACAGAATTCAGGCCAACTCGTCTAAAGTATGGAAATTGTAGATCAACAGATAGTTTTAATTACCATCTTAATACTTATCGATAATGTCAAAGGCATTGGTAAGAAAAAACTTTACATGACAAAAAAATGAAAAGAGCCTTTTTTGGTCTGAGACTGAAACAATCATTAAATGGTTCATATGAGAAGCAATACAACGAATATGACTTTATTGCACATAAAATATTTCTGTGTTTAACTCAAGGGAGACACGACAGTTGAAATTATCGAAGTTCAATTACTTGAAAGTGGATCACAATAATCATTAATTAATGTTAGGGGTTTCAACTTCCACTGCCTAAATATATACCTGCATTTTTGTGACTCATTCTATGCTTGTAATTGACTGAAATGATCATTATTATTATTGATTCATTATTCAATTCAATTCAGTTTATTGTACCAAGAAACAATAAATGCTTATAATAAGTGACTATAACTAACTACAAAGTATTATGAAATAACAGAAAACAGATTTCAAACAGAAATAAGGTATTTTACAATAAACACATAACATATCTTGAAAAAAAAAACAATGAATTCAAGTGTAATAGAAAAAAATGCAAACTATGAAAATCCAATAATTACATTTCTTTCAATTGACATTTAAATTTTATAATGAAATAGTGCTTCTTTATTTTCTCTGGAATTAAATTACATATTTGTCTTGTGGCATGATTGTGAATACATCAAATTCGAATAAAATTCAATTTTGATTCCTTCGTATTATTTTGAACACAATAAATTGAAGCAGCTTATTTTGAGTTTATAGTTTATAATCCGCATATGTTTAGATTCATGAGTAATTACATCAAACAAGAATAACTTACCACTTCAATTGATACACCAGGGTATGCCTTATTCACCATAGCTAAAGACTTCAGAAAATTATCTTCCGAGGGCCTGGAATGGTTCCACCAACTTATCAACAATTTTACCTTGACCCTGTTTTCAATCGCTGCAGTTTTCAGTGCATCGTCTATAACGGGCCAAAACTTTATTTTCGGCGTATAAATCATGAGCGGGAAATAGTCCATTACTGATATGTACACAAATTTCTCCGCGTGTTGGATAACATTTGTTAGGGCCTCGATGTCATTGGTGCGACCTGTTGGGTTGAACATGGGAGGCGCGCTCTGAAAATGAAGCAAATCATTGGACTGTAGAATATTCAAATCGATTGAAAAGGTAATGGCGGATTTATGCAACACACTTCCTAAGACTAAGGACTAAAAGTTCGATAACAACAAATCAACGAGAGCATTTACGGAAACTTCGCTAAGAGTGAAATCTAAGAACTACGTATAGAAAATTGATGAACATTCAACTAATAATTAAGAGTTCAGGTCAAAACAAAAACGAGCGTGCGCCAAATAGAAATATTTGCAGCTGTCACTAACTCGAAACATTTCTAAACAATTCTTTCAAATTTGTACTGTTTGACGTTGGTTTGCGAAATTTAGTTCCGGAGATTTTAGCCTCGAAGATGAGTTCAAAAGTGGTCGACCTACAGTAATCCAGGACGAGGATTTGATATACCGAAAATTGCGTCAGCAGCAGCCGGCACACGACAATGTCCGTTTCACAAATCATCGTTCGAAAATTAAACGAATCGAGCGTCAAAGTTCTATCTCACTCATCATACTCCTGAGACCTCTCGCCAACCGACTTTTCAAACACTTCTGTAACTTTCTCACCGCTAGAACCTTCGACAACCAGGTCTAGGCAAAAACGGCCATCGTCGACTTCTTCGAATCCCGAGCATACAATTTTTATGCTGACGGAATTAATCGACTTGTGTTACGTTGAAAAAAGTGTCCTGATTCAAATGGCTTATTTGGGTTGAAGTGAATCAATTGTTTATTTATTTATTTACGGCAATTCCTATTTCTTACAAAATAATTACAGATTCATTCCGTCCATAGTTGGTGCGACTAAAGGGTACTTTGAAGATTTCCGAATTTCTTGTTCTCCTTGGATTCACATTTGAAGTTATAAGTTCGACAAGTTCCNGGTGCGACTAAAGGGTACTTTGAAGATTTCCGAATTTCTTGTTCTCCTTGGATTCACATTTGAAGTTATAAGTTCGACAAGTTCCGGGGAATTGATTGATTATTTTATGAATTAGTATCAGATCTGATTCTAATTTTCTATGAGCCAGAGTATTCAAGTTAAGAATGTCCAATATAATTTTATAGTCATATTCATCAATATGATATCCCAGTTTATATGCAGAGTACCTTAAAACCTTATTTTGAACACTTTCAAGCATATCGATATCCACATGATATGAAGGGCACCAAATTGTGGAATTGTATTCGATTATTGATCTAACAATTGAACAATATATAATTTTTATTGAAGTGAGACATAATTCATTGGCAGATTTAAGAATGAAACCTAACATTTTTAGTGCTTTAGGAGTGATATTTGCAATATGAGGTTCAAATGACATTTTTGGTCAAGAGTGATTCCTAAATCTCTGATTGTGTTTGTTGTTTTCAGTTCTGATTGATGGATTTTATATGGCCGGTTAATGGGATTTTTGTTTAGGAAAATAGCTAATTTTTGACATTTGTCTATATTTAATTGCAGTAGATTTATATCACACCAGCCAACAAAGTTAGATAAATCGTACTGTAATAATTCTGTATCAGTTGAGTCATGAATAACTTTAAACATATTCAGGTCATCAGCAAACAAAAGAAATTCATTATAAAGAATAACATCTTTCAAGTAATTTACAAATAGGTTGAAAAGTAAATAGCCCTAAATGAGAACCGTGTGGTACACCCGATGAAACTGGATTTTCAATCCATTTCAGAATGTTTTCTTGAATACCCAAAGCGTTTAGTTTATGCAACAACAAATTGTGGTTTACTTGGTCGAATGCCTTTAAAAAATTTGTGTAAAAAAATCCACCTGGTGTGTATTTTCAAAGGCATTTCTTATACAGTATTGATAAATGAGCAGATATGTGCTGGTAGATCTACCACAACTGAATCCATGTTGTTGATTACTGATTATATGTCTACAATCCCATGTTAGCTTTTTTGTAATCAGGCTGACTAACAATTTGGGTAATTATGGTTGATTACAGACCGCTCATTAATTTTTATTTATTATGTGATCCACTTTTATTAATAGGTTTCAAAAAACTGTTTTCCCAATAATCTGGAAAGATTGACAATTTCAGGGGAATGTTGAATATCACGCGAATTGGTTTGACCAGGGTAAAAATACATTTTTTGATTAGGAATACTGGAATTCCATCAGGACCTGTAGACAATTTCCAAGGTAATGACATAACTGAATCAATTATTTCTTCAATATTAACACTATAACTACATATATCAACTGTCTTACTAAATTTATATTCTGGAATTTGGTGTAATGGTGGTGGTGTAATGCCTTGTAACATATTGTTTTCTTATCATAGAACTAACTCTGAATCTGTATTATGTATTATGTACTATTGTACACTTAAAAAACCAATATCTACCTATCTTTTAATTTGCAATGAAGTGATATCGCTGACTTGGGAACTACATGCAGAAAATCTTACCTCAAAAATGAGTAGCTTGTGTTTTGTAATGAGACAGTTATGGGGAACTGTTTCATTGCAGGTACTCAAACTGACATATTTTGCACTCATACAGTCTGCAATGTCTTATGGGCTGGCCTTTTGGGGAAATTCCACCCATATGACAAAAGTATTCACTATGCAAAAAAGGATAATAAGATGTATGGCAGGTCTACGTCACAGAGAATCCTGTAGAAATACCTTCACTGAACTGGCACTCTTATCATTGCCTTCACTGTATATATTAATCATAACAATGAACATCAAGAAAAATGAATCAAGCTACATTAAAAATAACATGATACATAAACATCACACTCGGAATGGTAATGAACTGCGACTACCCTACTCTCGACTGGCTCTTGGTCAGAGATCCTCAAGTTATCAAGGTATCATCTGCTATAATAAAGCACTTCAGCTATTTGGAAACACTTGTAATTTTACTGAATTCCAAAGTTCTTTACTTGATTAACTTACCAAAAATGCATTTTATAGTACTGAAGAATTTCTTCAACTCTAGCTATTATTGTGTAGTTACTTTATTTTACTTGTACAAATAATAATAATAAAAAAAAATAGATTTCACAATTTTAATTACTTGCATATATTATTTGTCACTGTTCTTGCATCTTTTTAATATGTCTACTTAACTTCTAATAACATGTATATATACACTAACTATAGATAAGCACAATTGCTTTATGTTCGGTTCTGACTAGTCTGATAAAGTTTTATGCTGTATGTACCACATGTATAAAATCTTTTAATGATGAATAAATTTCTATTCTATTCTATTCTATATAAATTGAGGAAACGAAGGCAATGGATTCAAAGTATTTGAAATATAAATCAGCAATAGTGTGCCCCACTCATAATCCAAAAATCGTAGGTTTGATGCTAACTTTCTAGTTGAGGTTCGGTTAATTTTGTTATGTAATATGGATGACGGGATTGTGAATAGTGATGCGCTCTCTAAGTGACTCGGGGAGTTATTAACATGCCCTACACACAACACTAGGCTAATGTCCATAGCAGTCAATGTTGACACCAAACAAAAAAATTAATCAAAGAAGTATTCCCTCTGTATGTCAGTTTTAGGCTGATTACTTACTGAAAAAAATAAGTGGAAAATTTCATTGTTGCTGAGAAGGTCCATTGGTGTTTTTGCGTTATATGCGGTGGAGAGGTTTGCAGGCCAAACAGATGGAATTTTTGCACCCTCTACCCCAAGGGTCCAGTAAACCTATAAATTCAATGAGATCTGGTTAGAGTAGTTTCTCTATATCATAGAATTCAAATAATTTCATTTTATTACACTGTACTCACTTCAAATATTTTCTGCACATCATTGGCCAAACAGGAGCAGTTATTAATATAAATTCCCAACTCTTTCACCTAAAAAAAAAAAAACCAATTGCGTTATGTTGTATCACTGGCCAGTTTACAAAATCGCAACAAGTATTTTAGTATACAATAACTTTCTCCAGTATTTTCATACTGACGAAGAAATCATTGAAAAGATACTCAATATGTCTTGATGCTTTGTTAGCCTCAATATATTAAGGATTACTTGAAAACACGAAAAATTTGTTGTTTTTTTTCAAAACAGTAATAATGTTTATGTAAGACTGATATAATTTCAGTTCTAACAACAACAATTCAATAACTGATGACTGTTTTTCATTGTTTAAAACACTTTCTGGGGAGATAGTCTGTTAATAGCAACACCGTTTACAGTAGAAACATTTGAGTAGGTAGTGATAGAAAGAAGGGATGGCTTGTGGATGTTGGTTGGAGAAAGGAGAGCATTGCTAAATTTTTTGCACCAGGCCCTGCTTTTGCTGAGAATAACATCTTCATAAATTATTTATATTAATTTTGAAGGCAAAAAGATATTGCATTCAATTAAAAAAAAAGTTTCATCATATACTAGCGAACCGCCTGGCTTCGCACGGGTGCAATGTTGATAAACGCGTGCGATCGCTGCTAATCATAAAATGCTATATTGCAAAGCGCGGCCTTCGACGCGCTATTTATAGGCACGCGCCCCCGGCCGTTACCACCGCAACCGCTATGTCCCTGCATTTTTGATATCTTCGAAAATATTCATTTAAATTACGTGCTGTGAAAGATCATATTGATGTATATTAAATGCACAATGTATATAAGGTACTTGATTGGATAAGGATTAATGTTGTATTGTTCAAAATCGCTTCGTAAATAAGCCATTATTTCATAAAAAGTAAAGGATAAAAAATGGTTATTGTGGGTTATCCCAAAGACGTATACCATTGCGGACTTTTTTGTTTTTGTAGACCTTTTTAAGGTGTAGTAGGTACATAATTTTGATCTATCTCGTAGGGTTCAGCCAGCGTTTGCAATGTAAGCGCAAAAATGTGTTTATTTACGACATCACATTAGAAATCTCTAAAATTATCAGTTTATCTATTATATTATGCATGTTATATACATATAAACCTTCCTCTTGAATCAATATATCTATTAAAAAACCCGCATCAAAATCAGTTTTGTAGTTTTGAAGATCTAAGCATACATAAGGACAGACGGCGAGAAGCGACTTTGTTATATACTATGTAGTGGCATGTATACCTAGCCATAAAAATATATAATGATGAAGTGCTAGCATTATTTATCTATAACATTAATCAAATATCAACCTGAATTGATTAAAGTCACCTTGACCTAGTTGGAAAATCAATAACATTCCATTGTAGCGTGAAAATATGATTAACTGCATATTCATGGAACCTAACGAGACGGAAAATTTATTATCCTTGAATATTACTCTAGGGAAAATTTATATTTGTTAGACTGGATAATGAAGTTTCTCACATGGAAAGGAAAACTTTCTAACAAAAGGACTGTACACATTTAACATAGTTATTTCTTGAATTCTTCCTACAGATATTTGACAGTATAATAACTGGAATAGACATTTCGATTGATTTAGATTGAGTTTTCAACGAATAGTCCATTATTTATACTATATTTCCTTGAGCTACTGAGTAGTAAAATATTTTGAAGTAGCTGTTCCATAGACGTATATAATCGCGCCTGTTGAAAAGTGAAATTGAAGTATTTATTTTGAACATCCAATGTTGTTGTATGATTTGATATAACAAATAGTTGTATGTATACGGTGAGTAACAAAACTATGGAACATTCGCATTGATAATTAATTTTTTTTTTCAATTAAACATCCATAATTGTTTTTTTTTCAAATTTCGAGTAAAATTTTCTGTACTTTCTACGAAAATAACTTTTCAATGTACCACAAACCTGCACAGCTCATCTGATTGAACCAGGCATACTTGAGATATTTTAAAGTTTTGCTGGAAAAAGGAAGTCATGATTCGATCAGATCTAATTGTGTTTTAATTAGGTACTTCATTGGACTAACAACCTGAACAATCATAGAATCTTTTGTTTGCGACCCTTTTGGGACACAACAAATAGGGTGGACCCGGTAAAGTATTATAAATCTGCTTATACTAACTATGACAGTTCGTGCTGGAACCTCTGGCGTAAAATGAATCTATCGAAAAACACTTTCCCAACACCAGAACAAAAATTATGGTCTCTCGACGCGCGCGCTAACTTGATTAGTGAAACACGTCGAGAGACTGTAATTTTTGTTCTGGTGTTGGGAAAATGTTTTCAATAAAAATATCTTGTATGTTGATAAATGAAGTAGAAGTGAAAAATGTTATAGTTTACTTTGCAACTGAAGAAAAACCTGTGAAAATCCATCTAGAAAATTAGCTTGAATAAATCTCTCAGAACAATTGAAATCAATATATTTATAATACCTGTGTGAGAGATCTCCAATCCATATTAGCACTACCAACATACACATTCCTTCCATCAATAATCCACAGTTTTGTATGCAGTACTCCCCCACCTAATAATTTTGCAAAATTCAAGCTCCGTACTTCTGCAGCTTTTCTTTTAACTAACAATTCAGTGTCTATATTGGGAAAATTTTGCGTTGGAGCATTTTGGGCTATTCTGATTTTAATACCTCTATCCGTACCTGCTTTGAGGAGAGCTTGAAATATTTTTTCTCCCTGGAAATAGATGTATATTAGGTATATCAGTGAAAAATAACATTAAAAAGCTTCCCTTTCGGAAACATTTTTCAAATATCTTAGATTCATTACATTACACTGGTTAGAAAGATTTCGTTAGGAGTTTATTATTGACATCTACTTTATTTACCTGTATGGAAGATGAATCTGGATATACTTCTGATTGACGTAAACTCCAGTAAAGAGAAGCTATATCTATAGATGTATTTGCTGAACTAATCAAATCTAACCAAGTATCGAATGTGGAAGGATATATGATAGACTCATTGGGATACGACATTCCTTCAGGAATACTTTCTACAAGAGATAACCTTAAAAAAAAATATTAATTTTTTTGTAACTGCTTCCTAGATAGGAGAAAATGAGGTACTACATATCATGCAATGTAACTCAACACCTGAGATATGCAAAGGATATAAAAGCAACATTCCGGTACAACAAAAAAAAAGTAAAAAATAGAACCGGTACATGATAAAATAACCTTGCTGATTTTGAGAATACTTATTTGCTGTTACACGCTACTGTTGCTATCATCTGTTGGTTGCACATAGAGTTTAAGCTAAATTGCATGTTCAGTATTAATTTTAGAAATATTTTATATTTTATCTGAAATCATTTCTGTTTTTTATGATGAAAATACAATTTAGTTGCATGCAAATATTTTATATTCGAATGTATTAAACAGAAATAAATACACTTCAGATGTTTCAGCCGAATGAAAGTGCAAATCCTGAATGATATTCTGATTTTTTTCAACATCTCAATAAAATATTTCAACACACTTTTATCAATGTGAAGTCATAAAGATTTTATACTTTGGCAATATTTCACAATTTTGTTTCCAAAAGCCAAATCTGAAATCTGTTTTTCCGTTAACCACACCCTTTCGAAGGTACTCTTGAACCCAGCTCCTGTGATAAAGAAGAAGGCAAAACTGGGTCAGTTAGGTCTGGAAAATTGACAAAGCTATAAAGAATCTGGCAAAATGGAAAACTCTGGTTATGTGGGGGAATGAACATACAATGTATTCATTATGATGAGTGGAACACTCTTTCCGAGATTTTGCTTGGCAGAAACACCTGGTACATAGACAAGTTGAAAACCAAACATGAGACTGGAGTCGAAATATACATTGCAGCTATCTACTTGATCAACTCTAGGTGGAAGTGTATGCAATTTTGCAAAGGAAAATTTGTTAGTCTTCACCTATTGCTTCTCTCTGAGATTGATGAACCCATGAGACATCTGGAGTGGTTTGTGAATGCAGTCGAGAACTGTTAACTATAATTAGACTCTACACTGGATGCAATGATACTCAACTCAAGAATAACAGGTATCGAAAAAGCAGATGGATATGCTAGGTCATCAACTATATAAATGAACCCTGGACCAGCTATGGGGTACCAAAATTTATGATATGGGTTAATGAGAAACATAAACTACTAGGAAAATACACAAGAGGAAAAACCTTTATGAAGAGACCCTCTGAAAAAAAAACTGAAGAACTTTTGCAATTCAGCAGGGATCACCTTAGATCATTTACTGGACGTTATTTATTTAGAAGGATCCTGAACAAAATAGGGTTATTTAGTAGACACTTCAGTTGCAAGCAATGCAATAAAGGGATGCAGACCAGATATCAGATGGCAAACAATTTATAATCTGATCTGGAATTAATACGTAAAAGTCAAAATTGGTACAGATGTAGGAGAAAGCAACATTCTCAAAGTACTGGGGAATAAGGGTGGAGAATTGGGGAGGGGGGGTCTCCAAAAGTCACTTTTATTGTTTTCTCAAATAACTCGAAAACTTCGGCAGCTAACAAAAATGTTCAGTTACTTAAATGAATCGGGCGATTGACTCAGTCAATCGCCTGATGTGTGAGTCGATGGTTCAAGCAGCAGCCAAAACACTCGATTTTCACTCGCAATCGTCCAACCCGTGTTAGGAATCACACGTTAAAAGGTAAGACCTCGTTAGTCTTTAGCTCGAACAAGTTTCGACTTCTGAGGGTTGTCGTTCGTAGGGGTGCGATAGCTGGTTAACAGAAAAACATTTTAAATTTTTTTCAAAAATAATTTATTTATGTCGATAATTATGAAAGCTCATTTTATTTTACCTGCAAGTATTGTTGCAGCTATCAGCAGGAGACGAATTCAATTCATTCAACACTCTTTCGGTGGCATGATCTAATAAAGGCAATAATACTACTAGGAAGATCAGGATGCAAATTATGGATATTGGTATACAGGATGGTCTACACCATTTACTTTTGTTGCCCCACCTGAAATACCAAAATGAGAAATATTTTCTGATAGGAAGAATGTTAAAGAAGTACCTTGGTGGAATACTGTCTGGGTCTGCAGGAATCATGTATCCATGACTCCATATGTCGGCTTCCTCTTCATTTTGAACAGGCGGAGTTTCCAATACTGGCTGAAAATCCAAAAAAGTTATTCAGTTTACTCAGTTTTCCAGTCTAAGCAATGAATTGTCAGGTAAGTTAAAATAGTTTTCATTGGTGGCATTTTTGAACAGTTAAAAATATGAAACAAGCAGGCAGTATTGAAGATTCATTGTTTGAATTGTTCTCACAATACAAAATAATTAATAGACTGAACAAAGAAAATGTTTTAGAATATATCGTATATCTTTGATTCCTAATATCACTTGAAATATTCTTATGCTTGTACATACTTTGGATGAAGAATTGATTTTGATTTTCATTATTTCATGAAAAGATTCTAATTGTTTTTGCTATTTAAGCAATTTTACAACCACGTATCATCTCTCAAATTCAGGATTTCAAAACTGTTTTTTTTATTCTGATTTAGGATTGCCAACCAAATTAATTTTAGGGAGTTTTCAATTTCTCACTATAACAATTATTATTACTCTGAGACATTAAACTCGAAACAATAAAATATCTATGTCCTTGTTTTGTCTGAAGCACACTAGAATGCTACTACCACAGAACACCTGTAGTTAGGGTGTCCTGTGGCTACTAAAGCATATAAACTTGTTTATCGAGAACCAGTGGCGTAACTGTGATTACTTAAGAAAGAACGATAATAATATGATTTTTTAATGGTGTTACCAAAACAGAAGTACATTTTGAATACTCATTACTCATGAAATCGATTGAAACAACAACAATTTCTAGAGCCACTACTGCATTTTAAATATTGTGAATAGATCAATGTTGTAAATATCAGATTAATAATTGATTTTCTGAAAATATACAGAAAAAAACTTTCAATGGAATTCTGAGAATTTCTCGTCGTTATTCCTTCTATTTAGAAACCATTGGTTGAAAAAACCTGTCACGTCTTTTAATGATAAAATAAGTAACACATATGAGTTACGTGCTTAAGATAATATATACTTAAAGTACAATTGTGAGTTCTGTAGTTCCACGAACACGCAATTCCTAGAACGAAAATAGTGGACTCAGACAATAATTCCTAAGATCTGAACCTTATAACTACTGTCGTAACTATGAAGTATATTTTACCAAAAATGGGGTTGGGGACGGTTGAAACATTTTTTGTGGGTACGGTTGAAACAGAAAATATATTAATGTTTATTTTTTGCAGATGCCGAAAGTTCGGGTGAGGAAGACTCCCAGAGGGAAAATAAATTTGTCGAGCTATAGTATTGCATATGAGGCAGATAGGGAAACATTCTTCTTTCATAATTATGCCTTCGGTAAAAACCACCTGAACACAGAATTGTTATTCTATTTCAAAAACATTGAAACCAAATGACTAACATTTGAGTTAATGGAAAATTTAACTCAATTAGTATCGAGGGTGCCAGTGGCGTATTCAGGATGTGTTTCTGTGGGGCAAATATGAAGCATTGTAATAAGTATGAATGGACAATTCATGTGCGTCACATGAAACGAAAACAGTCTAAGGGCTTTTCATCTATTTCCTATGGGGGCATTCGTCTCCTTTGCCTCCCTGTATACGTCCTTGAAGGGCGACCACACAATTTTTTTCAGAAAGGGTGAAGGTGGGAATAGGTATTTACAATTTGTTAAAGTCTGGACTGGATTGTATCAATTATGCAACTTTTCAATGGGCTCATTTAGCAATTTTTTTTTCATTATTTGAAAGTTTGTTTCAAATACATAGTACATCTGCCCCCTAAATTAATAGTTGAATGTAGCGTTCGCCGAAACGGGGCGTGCTCAAGCTTGACGTCACATCAGTCGACTCGGCGACAAGGAAGTGCTGGCGGATACGCGTGTGCTAAAGCCGCAGAAAGTAAGTTTTGTATTGTTTACTTCAGTGTGTCAACTGTGTAAATATGAATAATGATAAAAAAAGACGTTACAAGTATTGCATCGTTCCTAAATGCAAGAATTCTTCGGTAACTGTACGAGAAATTTTTATTATTTCACTGCCAATTAACTTAAAATCACGAAAGTTATGGCAGCGCGCTATGCTGTGGGCCAACTTTGTATCTGCCAAGGGGAAATTATGAATTGATGGATGTAGCCGTTACTATGTGGTAGGAGATCATGATGAAAAAAGAAACATAGAAATTTTCATTTCTTTTTTCACTAAAAAAAATTATAGTTAACTCTGAGTACTACTTTGAATTTTAGGTTGGAAAAGACTTAGAAAATTACATGAAGGTATGTCAAAACTATGAAAGTGGAAGTGTGTCAACTGCGTAAATATGAATAATGATAAAAAAGGACGTTACAAGTATTGCATCGTTCCTAAATGCAAGAATTCTTCGGTAACTGCACGAGAAAAATGTTTTATTTCACTGCCAAGTAACTTAAAATCACGAAAGTTATGGCAGCGCGCTATGCTGAGGGCCGACTTTGTAACTGCCAAGGGGACGCATTTTTGTTGCGAAGATCATTTTAATGTAAGTATGAATGATAATGATTAATAAAAAAAATTATAGTTAACTCTGAGTACTACTTTGAATTTTAGGTTGAAAAAGACTTAGAAAATGACATGTACGTCAAAACTATGAAAGTGGGAAAAATTATATTGAAACCAGGCGTTATTCCGCATATCTTTAATTGCCAGATTGATAGACCGACGGCCCATACATCTAAAGCTCCATCGTTTGTTCATAAAAAGAAAAAACAAATTTTGTTGAATACTTGTAACGAAGATATCGCTGAAAATCAATGCATGTCTGATGAAGCGAGTTCACAGGAAAAGACCTTCGATGTTGGAATTCAAGTTAATAAACAGGTTTTTCGAAGATCAAAAGCTGCATAGACCGTAAATATTATATACCACCGAAAAAGAAATCTTTCTGAAGAAGTAGAGAATACAGAAAGTATTGGAAAAAAATTACGACTAAGTTCCCCGAGGACAGTGAGAGTTCGAGTACAACAGACATGACTTCTGTTGATACATCATCAGATTCTACTTTGTCTGGAATATTTGTTCAAAACTGGAATACGAAAAACAATATTGAGCGAAGATCTATTCACGTCATAAAGAAACCTCTAAATTTATATTTTGGAAACCCAAGGGAATCTTTAATTATTCTAGAACTTTTGTCTCAAAAATGGCAGTTACGCAGAATTGATATATACATTACTTGGAAGAAAATTAAATTGAATTGGTCTTATGAAATTTTGGGAGACGATTTTGGTTTAGCTGCTGCTTCCGTATAATGCCATTAAAAGAACACTTCCAAAATTAGCAGTTTGTTTGAAAACATTCATTCAATGGAAAGCTATAGAGGAGGTTAGGGAAATCTGCTTTTACCTTTTAAGACATCGTTATAATAACGTACAGTGCATTATTGATTGTTTTGAGACATCGATTCAGAAACCAAGTGACCCAGTTCTCTATTAAAGCTGTCTTCTAATGAACACATAATGGTTTCTAACTTTTAAATTGTTTTAAAAACAAAATAATTCGAAAATACGTAACACGTGGTGTTTTCAAACCAGCAAATGGAACAAAATCCGACGATGGCAGCGATTCATAATCTCCAACTACAGGCCCGGTTGCCACCACTCGAGATGATTTACTTTTATAATACATAATTTTCAATAAAAAACAAAATTAGCCTGAATGAGCCAATTGTAGGTATATTTCGTTGTGTTCGTTTTTGATACTTACCGATAAGCGTGACTTTCCAAGGAATCCAGGACGATACTTTTGGGCTTTTTCCGTAGAAGGAGGAATAAGAACCAACAGTTGCTCTCTATCTGGGTTTCGAGAAGTTCGGGGGCTGGCGCAAGGTGATCTAGTCCTGGAACCCGAAGACAGATTGTTGAGGTTGATGTTCGAGGAGTTATCTCCGTAACTAATATTGTTCGTGTTATTGACTTGTACCAGTAAGCTGCATGTTTGTGATGCGATTTGGAATAGTCCATCCTGAAGGTTTCTGGGTTTCGGTGCAGTCTTACCAAAGTCCCAAAAATTAGGCATATCCTGTAGTTGCAATAAGTGAATGTAGAGTTTTGCTTTTTCATTTATGAGAGTTATATAATATGAAATACATGAAGATATTGAATATTTTAATTTTATACAATGGTATTCTAAATCTGCGACCGTTACGAAGAGGAGTTCATACATTGGGTCCGTAAAGTAGCGCGTAAATTAGTTATGAGACCTATATGCCTTGTTTTCGGTCTCTGGTTCTGAATAGCAAGAGATCACGATTGTATCACCAGCCATATCTTTAATATCTCTACAGGTAAACTTGGGCGTCTGAATAGCAAGTTTTAGTAGAACGGTCAGTAGTTATCTGACGTTATGTTGAGAAGTCGAACTATGTTTTTGCTTTTTTTATGGACAAAACACAAGCATTATAGAAAAATCCTAAAATCCTTAGAGTGGTGTCTGTGCGAAAGTGGCGATTCATGTTGGATTTTAATCGCTGAGGATTAAATTCATTTGGGAAATCATTCTCAGGAAGTTTATTGCCCAAAGTATTGAAAAATGGATATCAAGGANTCTTCACTTTCACAACATTTTCATCGGTTGTTGATGTGCTAGGGCATCCAGGGCCAGCGTCGTCATTCACATCTTCTCGACCTTCTTTGAAAACCTGGTACCAGAGTACAAAAGCTGACTCAGAGTACCATCACCGTATGCCACTGCCAACATTTCAAGTGTTTTTTTAAGAACTCAATTCCATTCTTTACACAAAATTTGATGCAAATTTTTCGATCCATCCACGCAAAACACATAACTTTTATGCGTCTCACCAACAAACTGAACGTCCTATTTAGCCGAAACTGTGAACATATGTTCGAGACAAATATACCAACATAAAAAAATAAAATAATTTGCTAATCGAATGTACCTACGTAGCCAGCGAACAGTCCACGTATATTGCTATTGTAGTTAAGTCGCAATAATCTTATGATATGGAAATGTTACAATTGTCTCCGGTCTACTTATCGTGCTAACAATCACATGAAAACTTTTTCAATCAACTTTTTCAATCACTTTCTTGTTTAGATTGTGACTGATTGAGTGCTCGATTCTTGAATGTCTTCAAAATGCTACGGAAGCGTAGAAGGGCCAAAGATTTTATTTGTTTATTTGATTCGCCATGATTTCGACTTAAAAGTCGAAATTTCGACTTATATCTCGTAATTTCGACTTTCATCTGGAAATTTTGAGTCAAAAGTAGAAATATGGTTCCTTGAGTGCATTATAATTTACTACGAGGTGATGTTAACAGGAAGTTCGTGAGGTTGTTGTGTGATTGGAATTTCAGTGGAAATATGTGGTTGAAAGTGGGATCAACCTCAAGCGACCCTAAGGTTAGAAATAATTAACTCTGAATCAATCAATAATTTCAACAATAATTATTTCGAACTGATGTTGAAACAAGAACAAATATTTCAGTTTAATGTACATTTTTGAAGATGCTCATTGGAGGATATTTCTTAAAAGGAGGATGTCTCAGAACTTTACGAATCGATATGGGAACTGAAAATGAAGTAATGGAGAGGATACAAAACTACTTTTATTAAAACAACGATAAAAATTAAATAAAAACAACAATAAAATTAATTGGCGCTCCGGGGCGACTTCATTGATTCCAGAGTTGCATTTGCTTTTTCAGCTGCAGGAAAACTCGGAAAAACCTGCAGCACCACATCATCTGAAGATCTTGATCTGCCAATGTCCTCTCTCTCATAAAACAAAATGAAGGGGTCTCCAGAGGCTCCAATAAATTCAATACATCGCCAGATGTGACCAGATATTGCCAGATATTGCCTGTCACATAAAATGTGGGACACCCGGTATAGTGATACCAAATTACTTAACATCAGATCCTCATATACTTTCCAAATTCTGATATGGATTTNAGTAACGTTATTTTTGCTCCGAGGCATCTAAAATAACAGTAAAAAGAATAATTATAGGTAAACTAGAGTAGGCTATAGAAAATATCCAATGCTTGTACCTAGTGGCATTTAAATTGTCATTGAGGGTGACGACAGATTTTAATTTTTTTAAAACAGTTATAATGTATATGTGAATAGAAAAATAGATTTCGAAAGTTCGAAATCAAAATGATTTCAAATTATTAGAAAAATATAGTTATATGAACCTTGTGGAATTATTGTTTCGCTCCCAACTTCTTGTAGATATTGTAGCACATACTCGAGAAACACCATAAGAAGCAAGAATAAATTTGCGGTTCTGATGTAGTCGGTTTTCACAATATTTTTTATACGCACATTTCACCCGGGATCAAACATTTGCCCGTCTTCGTGACTTCGATCGGTGAACTAAATTCTCCTGAATAGTTTGTGTCCATTGATTATTTTATTACCCCCTCAGTAGGGTATGTAGGACGGTTTAGTCTCGACTTGCGCCACTATTGAGCTAATTAGATCGATTATTTTCGCCGGCAATGCTTCACATCGGAATTTCAAAGAAAATGATTCATTTTCTTGTCTGGTTCTTTCATTACACACTAGGTTATAGTAAAAAGTAAAGAAACCAAAATACCTGGCAAGTAAAATTTGAAACTTTCGATGTAAAATGAATCTATTGAAAAAACTTTTTCCCCATCATAACAAAAATACGCGTTTCGTAAACTAACTTAGCATCATCAGGTGCTGAACAAGATGCTGACTTAGTAGGCGAAACACGCCTCGAGAGACAGTACTTTTGACAGTCATTTTTTGTGGGGGAAAATCAGGGTTTTTATGGGCTTTCTTTGGGTATTTTCACCTTGAACAATGTAGAAATATGAAACATTTAATGGTAAACTTTATACACGTGTAGAAAGGGCCAACTTTTCAGTTCACCTCAAGTTACTTGGCGAATTCAAAGTATTTTTCACAAAGAAAAATATTCTATTTATCAGATACTTATGGTATTCAATAGACAATTAGATGGTGTATATCAAGTTGAATGGAACAATAAATTAATTAAGGCTTTCGCGGCCTTCAAACCCGAACGAAGATCATAACACTGAATGGAACAAATTGAGAATGATTGCGAATGGATCTAAGTCTAAGAGCCGTGAACCGAAAGAATCAGCGTATATTGTTACACCTGGAGAGAAATGTACAAGTATTTTGAACAGCTCCTCAGAAGTGGATCATATCTGGCTACCTATCTTGGAGGAAAATATAGATAGAGGCGATATAACAATAGACTAAAATCAGAGAACACCTCATACCAGGGGGTGCCAGAAATACGCGGCCTTACCTAGAGATGACGGTAATTGTTTGAAACATATCACGGTATTAGAAAGTAAACAATCTATATACCAGGGGTCGGCAAGTGGGTGGGGTCCGGATACTGTGGGAAAATTTTAACGAGGTCCAGCAAAAAATAACTGATAATAATTAGGTGCCACCTATATATTATTTTGGTTTCAAATCAAATTCTGAATTATAAAACACAAGACCTGAAATTAATGTGAGAAATTACACCGACGGTCTTGAGCCAGTTTTT